ACCTTCCTTCTCTCTACCTTCCTTCTCTCTACCTTCTTTCCCTCTACCTTCTTTCTTTCTCTCCTTCTTTCTTTCCCCCTGTAGGCCTGTTTTTTATGCTATCATCTATTGATTGATTATGGAAAAGAAAAAAAATAACAAGATGTTTTCATAAAAATGATAAAAAATAAGTAAAGAAAAAAAAAAAATCAAATCGAAATCGAAAATCAACTACACAATTTCTTGATCCTAGGTAGTAATCTTTTATTTATTATTCATTGAAACAACCATTTTGAAGATCAGTACTACATGGTTATTATGTGTTTCTTTATTTTATAGCACTCTTGTCAAAATGCTTTAAAATTTGTGATTTCTTGTAGACTTTTTGCTTTCTGGAAAATCTTGAAGCGCAATTAATCAAAAGATCTTGATTTTCATGGTTACAATAAATGAAGAAAGAAAAAAAGTAGTGGAAGGTGGACTCGTTGGGCTTGTATATACTTCCTCTATACCCTCCTACCTTCCCCTTTCTCAGTCACCTCTCCCGATTCCTCTCATTTCCTCAACTGTGCTGTACCTCCCCCTCACCTTCTCTCCAATCTCCTTGACTAGATCCTAACATCATCTCCCTTGGCCTCTTCTATGTTCATTAATGCATCCTTAACTAGTATCTTCTCAAACACACATCACACTTAAAGTGACCCACGGAGAAAAATACTTTCTAATGTTTCAAAATGCCCACCAAAAAAACCTACATATAACTTCTCTATAATCAATCAGCAGTATTATTCATCATTTTCCGAGACATCTTTGTATTACAATATACCACTCTACCTTTCTTCTTGCACAGATATTCCTCATTCAAGAAGCTCGCATTTTTTTATTATCCAATCAAATACATCCATTTTTGCACTCGATCGCTGTTTTCTCATTAAAAAAAATCATCACAAAACTCATTCATCGTATCTAGAACCTCATAGCGGATATCCCAATCTAGTAATATATATAACACCGATTTTTGCCGCATTTTGTTTCCTTTTTCAATACTCGACAATACTAGCGAGCGAAGCGAGCTAGTAGAGCAGCACTTGATAGGTCGTTCAAATGTTCTATATAGTGAAACCAGTATCAAATTAGTATATCTAGTCCACTGTTATCACTTGATTTTCGTGTAGCCTTACAGCACTATCGAGCAGCTTGTTTCAACTCTATCGAGCAAAGCGAGATAGTGTCGCTCGATAGTGTCTACTACCATATATTCCGTAAAACGGTTGAAAGTATCCAAGAAAACCATCCATAAACGTGAATGACATCTTACCTCTCAAGAACATCGGCCTTTAACTAAGCTCTATAACCACAGTTCAAAGAGATTTCTACAAAAACAAAAACAAAAAAAAAAGAAAAGAGATAAAAAGGAAACTCTAGCGAGTAGCCTGTTACTCCACTATCTCGCTCTGCTCGATAATGTCGATAGTGTCGTAACGGGATGGTAATGGCATGGTCATTAGGTTTCCTCAACAAAGGCAATGTAAGATTTTCGATTTGATGATTTTCTTTTTTCTCCTCTTCTCACTTGAAAAACAAATTTCAACAAGTTACTTGCTCTTTTGAGAGATTAATCAGCAAGGTTAAAGGTTGATAATGAATGTGTTGAAGTTACAAAAGAAGTTCCCTATTTTGCAGCAGTCTGATTTATTCAATATAATTGAAGATTTCAGAGCCATTGATACTGATGATAAAGGCTGGGTTGAGAAAAAGGATGTTATAAACAGTGTTAGCAAAAAAGGTGAATATTCTTATGATCAAGCTAGAGAAACTTTGAAGCATGTTGATGTTGACGCGTCGGGACACGTTGAACTAGACGATTATGTTGAATTAATTGCGAAACTAAAAGAGTCTACCCTTGACGATACAAGAGCAGAGGGTGCTACCAAAACCTCCTTTTCCTCCTCCTCCTCCATCTCCTCACCACCACAGCAGAATGTTGTTTCTCCCGGTAGAAAAAAGACTGCGCCCCCTGTGCCCACTGCAAACACAAAGAACAAGACATATATTGAAGGGAAGACGTCGGGGACTACTCACACTATCAATGATGAAGAAAGAACCGAATTTACCAGACACATCAACTCGGTTTTGGAGAATGACTCGGAAATCGGAGATAGATTACCATTTGATACAGAGACATTTCAAATATTCGACGAGTGTAGAGATGGTTTGGTTTTGAGCAAATTGATCAATGATTCTGTTCCGGATACCATTGATACAAGAGTGTTGAACTTGCCAAAGGGCAAGAAACCATTGAACAATTTCCAAATGTCGGAAAATGCAAATATAGTTATCAACTCTGCAAAGGCCATTGGATGCGTAGTGGTTAATGTTCACTCCGACGACATAATTGATGGGAAAGAGCATTTAATCTTGGGGTTGATCTGGCAAATTATAAGAAGAGGTTTATTGAGCAAAGTAGATATCAAGTATCACCCTGAGTTGTACCGTTTATTAGAAGATGATGAGACTTTGGAACAGTTTTTGAGATTACCGCCAGAGCAGATTCTTTTACGTTGGTTCAATTATCATCTAAAGAATGCCGGGTCTAACAGAAGAGTATCAAATTTTGGTAAAGATGTTTGCGATGGTGAAAACTATACTGTATTATTAAATCAGTTGAAACCGGAACTATGCGATTTGTCGCCGTTAAAGACAAAGGACTTGCTAACAAGAGCAGAACAAGTTTTAGACAACTCAGACAAAATTGGTTGTAGAAAGTACTTGACACCAAAGTCTTTATGCTCTGGTAACCCCAAGCTTAACTTGGCTTTTGTTGCCAATTTGTTCAATACTCATCCAGGATTGCAGCCAATAGAAGAGCACGAACATATTGAAATTGAAGAGTTTGATGCCGAGGGAGAAAGAGAAGCTAGAGTATTTACCTTGTGGTTAAACTCGTTGGATGTCGACCCTCCAGTTGTTTCCTTGTTTGAAGATTTGAAGGACGGATTGATTTTGTTACAAGCTTTTGATAAGGTGTTACCAGGAAGTGTTTCCTTCAAGCATATCAACAAGAAGCCAGCTAATGGAGAAATGTCCAGATTCAAAGCTTTGGAAAACACAAATTATGCCGTGGAGATTGGTAAGGCAAATGGTTTTTCGCTCGTTGGTATCGAAGGGTCAGATATTGTGGATGGAAATAAGCTATTAACCTTGGGACTTGTATGGCAGTTAATGAGAACAAACATTATCAACACGTTAGCCGAATTGGGCAAGGGAGGTGGTCATTTGACTGATGCAGATATTTTGAAATGGTCCAACCAGCAAGTTTCTAAGAATCCAAACAAAACATCACAAACCATCCGTTCGTTCAAGGATAGCTCATTGTCAAATGGTGTTTACTTGTTGGATGTTTTGAATGGTATGAAACCAGGTTATGTCGATTATGACTTGGTCTACCAAGGCGCAAACATCTCAGAGGAAGAGAAATACGCAAATGCCAAATTGGCTATCTCGATTGCAAGAAAATTAGGCGCATTGATCTGGTTGGTGCCTGAGGATATAAACGAAGTTAGAAGTAGGTTAATCTTATCGTTTGTAGGTAGTTTAATGGCAGTTGCTGAAAAGTAATAAAATACCTCGATATCATTATTATCAATCTTATTTTCTTTTTTTTTTTTTTTTTTATTTATTTATTCTCTTTTTGTTCCTTTTCTTATAACTTATACCAACATTATAGCATTATTACACCATGAATTTCCTCAGAAAGAGGAAATCTTCCTCCAACTACTCGGACGATGATGATGATGACTTGTTAAACCAATCACAAATTCACAAATCTAGGAAGCCTCCAAACACAGCGTTTAGGCAGCAGAGACTAAAAGCATGGCAGCCCATATTGACACCCAAGTCTGTGATTCCATTCTTGATACTCTTGGCTATCATATTTGCTCCTTTAGGGATTGCTATAATATACACCACTTATAATGTGCAGGAGTTAAATGTTGACTATTCGCACTGTGGTTTGCAAAATGATACGTTTAGCAGTATACCTCATAAATATACTGGTTACCACTTTAAGGATAACGTTAAGCCGGACTTTAAGTGGAGAGCCGAGAATGTTACAAACAATGGAGATACAGTAACACGTTGTTATATCCAGTTTAGTATTCCAGACTTGAAGCCGCCGTTATTTCTTTACTACAAGTTGACCAATTTTTTTCAAAATCATCGAAAATATGTCGAGAGTTATGATTTGGAACAGCTAGGTGGAAGGAATCTATCGAGTGATGATACAACCGATAATTGTAAGCCATTAAAGCATAGGCAGTATAACGGTGAGCAGAGGCTTATTTACCCTTGTGGCTTGATTGCAAACTCCTTTTTTAACGATACTATAGGTCTGCCAGTTTTGTTAAACGCGCGTAATGGCGAAGACAACCAGACGTATGTGTTTGCAGACACGGATATTGCTTGGCCTTCAGATAGAAACCACAAATTCAAGAAAACTACTTACAAGCCTGAGGATGTGGTACCGCCTCCTAATTGGGACAAGATGTTTCCCGAGGGATACAATAGCACAAACATGCCCGATCTTCAAACATGGGAGCACTTGCAAAACTGGATGAGAACTGCAGCTTTGCCCAATTTTTACAAGTTGTATGGAAAAAATACCACCCTGGAGATGGCTTCGGGTACATACCAGGTCAGTATTGATTTAAACTACCCGGTAGAGATATTTGGAGGAACGAAAAGTATAGTGATAACAACAAACTCGATTTTTGGTGGAAGAAATGTGAGTTTAGGAGTGATTTACATGATAGTCGCTGTTATCTCTTTGGTTTTGGGAATTGGTTTCCTATTACAAGTTTTAATCAAGCCCAGGAAGATTGGAGATCACAATTATCTCCATGATGGAGAGATTAATAATTATAGAGATCACCTTTAGTCAATTACCTTAATCACTAATTGCCTCAACCGCCTCTGCCATCTCTGCCATCTCTGCCATCTCTGCCATCTCTACCACCTCAACTGCCTCTGCCATCTCTACCACCTCAACTGCCTCAACTGTCTCAACCACCTCAACCACCTCTGCCATCTCTACCACTCCAATCACCTTTTAACGTGTAAGATGTATCCTTTTTTTTTTCACTTGTTCGCGATGTACGATGAAAGTTTTATAAGAGAAAGAAAAATTAAGGTTATATAGAGTGATATTGATTAAGAGGTATTGTTAAAGTATTAGTTGCCAAGGAGATGAACGTTAATCCACACTTGCAGTTTCTTCAGCAACACCAATCTAACCAACTGCTGTCTCAGCAGCAATCGTCGCCGCAGATTGCACAATTACAGCTACAACAGCAGTTGCAAAGACAACAATTACTCAGTCAACAACTTCAACAGCAACAGCAACAGCAGCAGCAGCAGCAGCAGATCGGCACGCCTGTAGTGCAAAACCAACACATTACCAACCCTTTGTTGGCAGCCTTGAATGGAGGGAATCCGTCAAGTAATAGCGGCGCAGGTTTGACTTTGAGCTCGAATCCAATCTTACAACAGTTGCAGTTTCAACAGTTACAGCAGACACCCAACCTGGGTCCCGGATTGTTAAACCAATCTATACCAATTATCAAGGAAGTCTGGGCGCACAACTTGGAGCACGAGTTTTACAATTTACGTAGATTTATCAATGATAAAACTTGTACAATTTTTGCTGCAATCCACGAGGAGACCCCGGGGATCGTTGCACGAGCCATTGGTTCGTTTAAAACCAATACCGATTATCACTTTCAGACAATAAGATGTAACTCGGATCTCTTGAACTTGATCCAGTTTAGCATTTGTTTTACCAAGGTGAAGGATAATATTGTCAGTAACTCGATAATATGGCAGTTCAATTTCGCCTATGATCTTACCAAGGAGATGTACAATGAGGAGCACTTGGCAATGCTATCACAGCAATCGGCAATCAACTTTTCTGCACACATGTCCCACGGAATCAAGTATCTTGACTTTGCTGAGTTGTTAATAGACAGTGGGTTATTGTTGGATGAGTCGGTAAATTGGATTTCTTACCATGCAGGCTACGATTTGGGCTTTCTTGTGAGTTTGTTAATGAATGCCAGCCTACCTGTTGACGAGCCTGACTTTTATTGGTGGTGTCACAAGTTTTTTCCAAATTTTTATGACTTGAAATATATCGGTAATCAAATTCTTCTGAGCGACGAAAAGTTGAATAAGCCCTCGATTGAGTATTTGGCAGAGGAGTTACACTTGTTGCCAATATCCCCAGCTATCCGCCAATTGTTTGGTACAGTTAACAATAGCCAGCAACAACTGCTAACCTCCACTTTGCACGCTTATTTATCAATGGAGTGTTTCAAGGAGATTTTGAGAAGATCAAAATATGACTTGGACGGTCTTTCAAAGTTCAAAGGGCACTTTTGGGGTTTGGGCTCTTTTACAGAACACGAAGATACAACGAATGGCGCAATACAAATGGGTGAAAAAACTGGTACAGTTCATTTCAGTAGAGCATAAATCTATAAAGTGTCACCCTCCTCCTTATTATTATCAGCATCATCATCATCCTCTTCCTCCTCAGCATCCTCTTTTTCAACTCTAGCCTTTTTCGGCAGACTCTCCTCTGTCTCCTCTTTCTCCTCTTTCTCCTCTTTCTCTTCCCTTTCCGCCCTTTTTCGCTTAAAACCGGCTTTCTTATCCTCGCCTGTTCTTACTTCGTCGTCTTGTGGTGGCGGTACGAACCAAGGTATTTTCCCACGGTTGAAATCATTCAAAATCTGCTTGGCAACTCCACTTTCATCCGGTTCCCCACCTTTCAAAAGCCTTCCCGCTTTTCTAGCAATCAACTCTATAAACTCTATACTTGCCTTCTCTAATTGTGATGGGTCTTCCTCGAAATTGCTCCATCCCTTCACCTCATAAGTACGTTCCAAATGCTTTCGTTTGCACTTTTTGAGCATATCTGGAATGTATTGTTCTGGATGAGACACGTGTTCAACACGCACCACTCCTCTGAACAAAATATCCGACTCGGTATCTTTGGAGCTTGGTGGCACAATACCTGGACAGTCGATCAAAAATATCCTCTTCATCAAGGTGATGTATTGCCACACTTTTGTCTCACCTGGTATTGGAGCAACAGTGCATACTTTTTTCTTGCGCAATGTATTTATTATGGAAGATTTACCTGTATTGGGATACCCTATGAAACCCACTGATATCTGTTTACGATCTGAGTGAAGAGTTGAAAATTGTCTAAGTAGCTGAATAAGCGAACCTTTACCAAAGGAATTGGTAATCGATGCATGGAACGCAAGTGTTGGATATGATTTGGACAAATGTTTCACCCATGCAGCCTAAACTCTTTAGTTAGTAAAATTCTGAACTTATTCAACACAGATTTGGTTTGTTGGATTCTATACTACGAAGCTAATGGTGATGAAAACAAAAAAAAAAAAATTATTCTCAAAGACTAGCTTCAACTCAAAAAGATTCCTAATTACGTCACTTTCAACGGTGGTAAAGACTACCTCCAAAGTGGAAGATGAAAATATTCGACTCTTTCAAAACGAAAGAGTGAAAAAAATCAAAAATCCACTGAATTTGAAAGCCATGCATTGATTTTCCAAAGACGTAACAGGTAATACAGTGGGAAAGTGGATCTAATGATCGTTATATCACCCTGACTAAATGCTTTGGTAAAATGAAATAAAAAAAATTAAAAAAAAGGAATTTTTAACATACCGCTACCCAGGTGGGAACTAAATCACACTTGTTCAAAACGTATATCAAGTGTTTATGAGAACACTCATCCTTTATGTATTTCTCAACACTGGCACATCGTGTACCTAATGGGTCTCTTGCGTCTAGAACATGTATCACCACATCACTAGAGTCAATAACCTTGTATAACTCATTCCAAATCCTCTTACTCTGCCCCTTATGAAAGATAGCTTCTTTTGCTTCTTGTGTGTACTCATCCTTATCCAAGATGGAGCCACCCATTAGCCCAAGAGTAGCGTTGAGTTCTTGCTTTTCGTCGTATGTTGTGGAGTCCTGCTCAGCGGATGTCATCAAATCCTCTAGCGACGATGCAGCTACTCTAGGTTTCTTCCGCTGTTGCTTAGGCCCAAACGTCGAAGAAAACGACTCGGTCTCTACTATTTTTGCAGTGGGACTTTCTGACTGGTCTTTCTCATTGAGTAAGGACATGGGAAGCTTGTTCCTTTTGAGAAGCACCTGGTAAGAATCATCCTTTTTGGCGCCCATTGCCTCTCTGAAATGAGACAAGGCATCCTGGGCAATAACCCTGGTGTTGCCAAACCACTTTTTATTAGGGTCAACTCTTGCAATTGGAGCGTCAGTGCTTTGCAAATCAGCAGCTTTTATAATCTCACCTTTTGCATTACGCACGGCCCTGCCTTGCTTGTACATGTTCAAATGCTTTACTTTTTTAGCATCACGATAGAAGTTCTCCCCTTTGACACGGAGGTTACCGTCTCTAGTGTCATTCTGCTTAACCCTTCTCAGTTTCTCTTTCTTTTGCGTACCCATCTTTTGAAGAAAAAGAAGATATATTGCAAGGATGAAAAAATTGTAGAAAATTTCATTTTTTCGAGATGAGCAGAAACTGCGTTGTGGGGGTCACGTGATGGAGACTAAAGACTAGTCGATAAAGTGTAGATAGAGAGAGAGGAGAGTAGATAGAAACTAGTTGAAAGGGAAAGAGAGACTAGATGAGTGAAATGAGTCTAGTCGATAAAGTGTAGATAGAGAGAGAGAGAGCAGTCGATAGAGAGAGAGAGCAGTCGATAGAGAAAGAGAGCAGTAGATAGAGAAAGAGAGCAGTAGATATAGATAGAGAGCAGTAGATATAGAGAGAGGGAGACCATAAGAGTGAAATGAGCCTAATCAATAGAGTATAGAGAGTGTGTGTGTAGTAATATGGTATCTTGCTTTGCTCTTTAGTGTAGAGATGGGTTGTTGGTAGTTGCATTTAAAAAACTATTAAGTTTGAGTCAAATTGGTGCAAAAAAGACTAGACTAGACTGAAGGATGAAACGGGATAAAGCTTCTAGAGTAAAGGATCACTATCGAGCAGCACTATCGAGCAGCACTATCGAGCAGAGCGAGATAGTGTCACTAGTGTGCCCCACTATTGAGCGACACTAATTATCCTGTTACAACACTATAGGATGAATGGTAGGTAGTATGCTCCACTATCGAGCAACACTATCGAGCAGAGCGAGATAGTGTCGTTGGTAATTAGTGTGCTCCTCTTTCTGGCTCTGCTTGATAGGGTCACTAGTGTGCCCCACTATCGTGCAACACTATCTCGCTCTGCTCTATAGTGTCGTTGGTAGCTAGTGTGCTCCACTATCGAGCAACCCTATCTCGCTTCGCTCGATAGGGTCACTCCACATGACCACTCGTTCATGCCAGTTGAATTTTTCCGTGAAACAACAAAAAGAAATCTTTAATCAACACACACTGGTTTATTTCCAAGTTTATTGGTGAATATTTGATGTTTAATTGTTCAACTGGTTGTAGATACTGGAAATTTTTTCATCCTACACAATGAACACAAGTAATGGCAAATGGTTTGACAAAAAGATAAGCCCGTCAATTAGTGGGTCGGTTACTTCTTCGACATATACGGCACACTCATTAGACCAGCATCAAATATCTATTTATAAGAACCTTGAACAACCGCGTTTTGAAATCAAACAAGTACAACTACAATTTGATTTGAGACATAAGCTCGAGAGGGTTGTTGTGGCAGACAGTCTAATGTACTTGATTGTTGGGGGGTCACTAATGTTCAAAATAGACCTAAACAACCCTTCGCAATTGATCAAGTATCTGGTACCCCCACCTTTGCTTACACCATCACAGGCTGCCTTTGATGTTTGGGTTAATAGAACCGGAGAGGATTTGATATTGAGGGTCAATCAGCAATACTACTATTTGAACCAGGACTACAAAGCTTTCAAGTTGCTAGGAAAGCTCAAAAACTTGGATATAACATCAGCCGTTTTCATGTCGGCGCATACTGTACTAATGGGAACATCAAATGGTGCAGTTTACTTGGCAGTGATAAGACCTCATGAAGATGTTAAAAAAAACGACCTACAATACTTTAAACAGGTTTTTAAGGTGGAGTCAAAAGTGCAAGGAATAGCACTTACAAACAACCAATCTCAAATTCATTTGATTGCCAATTTTACCCTATATACCTGGCCTTGCTTTGATACTTCGTACAACGAGTTGACAAAAGTGTTCAAGACACAGCCGGTGATTAGAAATATTGCTCATAAAAACACGCGGTATCTATTTGCATCTAATGATGACAACTTTGTGTTTTTGTCAGATGAATTGGTCACCAACGACGAGGAAATACAAATACCTTTGATAAAACAAGACTTGAAAGATTTAATGATTACATCGCATCACTTGATTGGCTTTGACAGCAAAAGCAGCATTTATATCTTTAACAAATTGAATCAGCAAACAAAAACGTTACAGTTTGAGGGAAACATCAGTGGTTTTGCAAGTGACTCTAGCACTTATTGGATATACACTGATAATTCCATCTACGAGTTGCTCATCTCTAATGAAAGCAGTTTGGTCTGGTACGATTATTATAGAATGGGTAAATTTGAGGAAGCTCTAAATTGCTTGGAGGACAATGAGGAGAATTTTTTTAAAAGAGACTTGGTTTTAATAAAACAGGGCTACGACTATTTACAAAAGGGGGGCTTTGGGTTGGAGACAAGGGAAAAAGATCTCATTCTGTTGCAGAAGAAAGGGATAAATATTTTGGCAAAACTGACAGAACCTTTTGAAAAAGTATGTCTCATGTTGAATCGAACAAACTCGAGAGGTATGCTATTGGACTATCTATTGTCTAAGTTTGCAATGAATAAACGGAACAAAGTGAGGGCGGTGGTGCTATCAACTTGGATCCTCGAACTCATGGGTAGACTCAATGACGACAGATTTGATGATTTTGTAAGGTCAAACTATAAGTTGTTTGACAGGTCAATATACGAAGTATTGCAAGGGGAAAAGGCATTGTTTTACGCTGATTTGATTGAAGATTATAGGTTTATATTGAACTACCATCTCAATAGGAAAACTTGGTCACTAGCTGTTAGAACACTTGCTAGGATGTATTTGAAAGATGCTGAGGCTATTTATGAAAGTGCCACCACATTATTGCTAAACTATCCCAAAGTTGTTGACATGTGGTTGAGATTTGACTTGGACTATGAACGTATGTTGCCAGCGGTGTTGTCTTATTGCGCAAAAAATAAACAAGTATCTTTGAGTAGCAACGTTGCCGTGAAATTCATACAAAGAGTTCACGACAAGGGATACAAAAGCAAACAGCTCAACAATTACTACTTATCTCTCCTCGTGACGTCTCCAGAAGACACTGAGAGTTTAATAATCAAATTCATCAACAATGAAAAATCTTATGATCAAAATTTTATTTTGAGACTATGCATCCTCCGGAATAGAATCTATCCTGCTGTTTTGATCTATATAGATATGGGCCTTTATGAACAAGCATTGGATTATGCGTTGCGCAATGATGCTATTGAGCAAGGCGAATATGTTCTTCGGAAATATGAAGAAGATATCGTAAAAGAGGATGTAAACGAAGAAGAAAAGGAACAAGAGGAAGAAGAGGAGGAGCATGATCACCATCACAGCAAATTAGAGAAGGAAAGTTATAGCATTAGGAGACATTTGTGGTTGAGTTTTGCAAAACATTTGATTGACCATGTGTGCCTGGGGAAAGATGTTGGACTTGCAGACTTGGATAAGTCTCCCAATAAGTTGAACAAGATATTGAGCTATGTCTCGGGCAAGTCATCGCCGTTGGGCTTAAAAGATTTGTTACCGTTATTTCCCGAAACTGTTATGATCAACAATTTTAAAGACGAGATAGTAGACTCTCTCAACAACTACAATCGCAGTTTACAGGATATCAACGTTAAGATTCAAGAAAATAGCGACTTGTTATCATCGTTGAAACAGGAGACTTTACTAGAAAAGCAGAGGAAATCTGTTAGCTACTCGGTTGTAGAACCGGGCACACCTTGTCGCTTGTGCACTAATTTACTCATTACAAAAAATTTCATCTTTTTCAAAAATTGCAAGCATGGCTTCCATAAGGAATGTTTAGTTCGTTTTTATTCAAAGTCCAAGGGGAACTACAATTTCAAGAAAATTTACCTGAACTTTATGAGAAATGGAGGTAAAGATCAAGGGAAATTGAAGCAGGAGATTGACGAGATGTTATGCAAAGAGTGTGTATTATGTAGCGAGTCCCATATCAACACTATCGACCTAGGTTTCCTAGAGGAAAACGGCAAGGACATCGAAGAGTTGAAATCGTGGGAACTCTAATCTTTTGTGTGTTGATAGATTTATCTCTTCATCTCTTTATCTTTTCATCTCTATCTTTTCATCTCTATCTTTTCATCTCTTTATCTTTTCATCTCTTTGTTTAGGAGGAAGAAAGAAAAAAAAAAAAAAAAAAAAAAAAAAAAAGGGCATCTCATCTCATCTCATCTCATCTCATCGCATCGCATTTTAACGATAACAACGACAAAGACGACTACTACCAGCTTCTCCACCAATTAGCATGGGTAAGACTCAGAAGAAAAACAGTAAAGGGCGTTTAGATCGTTACTATTACTTGGCCAAGGAGAAAGGGTATCGGGCGCGTTCTTCTTTTAAAATTATTCAAATAAATGAAAAATTCGGACACTTTTTAGAGAAATCCAAGGTGGTGATTGATTTATGTGCTGCGCCTGGATCGTGGTGTCAAGTTGCTTCGCAGCTTTGTCCCGTCAATTCGTTGATTATTGGAGTCGATATAGTACCCATCAAGCCGTTACCGAACTGTATAACTTTTCAAAGTGACATTACCACTGAAGATTGTCGAAGTAAGTTGAGAGGACATATGAAAACATGGAAGGCTGATACTGTGCTACATGACGGTGCTCCAAATGTTGGTTTAGGGTGGGTTCAAGATGCATTTACGCAGTCACACTTAACTTTGCAAGCTTTGAAGTTAGCAGTCGAGAATTTAACAGTTGGAGGTACCTTTGTCACAAAAGTATTTCGCTCAAGAGACTATAACAATTTGATGTGGGTATTTCAGCAACTATTTGATAAAGTTGAAGCAACCAAACCGCCAAGTTCCAGAAATGTTTCTGCGGAGATTTTTGTTGTTTGTAAGGGGTTCAAAGCACCAAAGAAATTGGATCCTAGACTCTTGGATCCTCGTGAAGTATTTGAAGAGTTGAATAATGATAAGAATAGTGTTAATAACGAGGAAAAAATATTCAATCCGGAAAAGAAAAGAAGACAGAGACAAGGTTATGAGGAAGGGGACTATACATTGTTTCACACCATGCCAATAATGCAATTTATCAAAGAAGAGGATCCAATAAACCAACTCGGAGATTTGAACAAATTTGAAATAGACGAAGATGAACATGACTGGAAGGTGATTAAAAAACTAAAATTGTACAATACTGAATTAAGGGAATGTTTTAAGGATTTGAAAGTTCTTGGGAGAAAAGAGTTTAAGGCTATATTGAGATTTCGAAAACAAGCAAGAGATATACTAGGCATAGATAAAAACGAAGAGGAAGACAAACCTGAAATTGAAGTTGAAGAGTTGAATGAGGAACAAAAAATTGATAAAGAGTTGAATCAAATGATGGAGAGGCAAAAACAAAAGGCCAAGAGAGCTAAAAAGACTGCAAATGAGTTGAAACAAAAGGAAATTGTACGTAATCAAATGCAAATGGTTACAGATATGAATATTGGTATTGACGCAGCACAAGTTGGTGCAGACTCTTTATTCAATTTAAAAACTGCAGAAAAATCAGGTCAATTGAATAAACTTGCCAGGGGTAAGAAAGCAATGGTTTTCTCCGAGGAGGATACAGCCAAGGACGTTGAAATTCATATTGACGAGAAGGAGATGACCGATGCAGCAGCTGCTGCCAATAGTGAGGATGAGGTAGATGAATTGGAGGCTCAATTGGATGATATGTATGAGCAGTATCAGAATAGAAGAGTAGAAAGAGATGCCAAATATAGGGCCAAGTTAGCTAGAGGAGATGATGATCAAGAAGCATGGGAAGGGATAGATGAGGAAGAAGATGGGCAAAAGAACAACGAATTGGGGGACGATTATCAAATGGAACTGGAACTGGACTCGGATGGTGATGAGCATATCAATTTGATTGCCCAGGGTAGGCAGCAAAATGGAGGTTTAACTAGAACGGCGAAATCCTTTTTTGCTTCAGATGCAATTTTCAACGAGCTTAAAGATGATGAGTTGATTGAAGAATCGAAACCAAAACTGGTTAAGGAGTTATCAACCAATGGAAAAGCGAAAACAGAAGCACAGTCATTTTCACCACCATCACCAATTTCATCCGAAGAAGATTCCGACTCTGATTTTGAAATTGTTCCTAACAAAGTAGATTCAGATGAAGAAATTTTCAGCGATGATGATGACGACGACGAACCTAATACGGTGCAAACCCATCAGAATAAAGTAGATATCACCACAGCTGAGGCAATGACACTAGCGCATCAAATTGCTTTGGGCCAAAGAAATAAAAAAGATCTCATAGAAGAAGGTATAAATCGATACTCCTTCAGAGATAGAGACAATCTCCCGGAATGGTTTGTTGATGACGAAAAGAAACACTCGAAACTAATAAGACCAATTACAAAGGAAGCAAGTTTGGCGATAAAAGAGAAACAAAAGCAATTAAACGCACGTCCAATTAAGAAAGTACTTGAAGCGAAAGGACGAAAAAAGATGAGGGCATTACGTCGATTAGAAAAATTGAAGAAGAAATCGGATTTAATCAATGAAGATAGTTCGAAATCTGAATACGATAAAGCTGCAGAAATTTCGAAATTGATGCAAAAGGCAAAGAATGCCGGTAAGGATAAGCAACGGAAGAAGCTAACTGTTGTTGTTGCTAGAGGGTCGAATAAAGGATTGAGTGGAAGACCTAAAGGTATCAAAGGTAAGTATAAGATGGTTGATGGTACTTTAAAGAATGAACAGAGAGCGTTGAAAAGGATTGCAAAGAAGAGAAAGAAGTAGCATGTAGGAGTTGTATCGATGTATCGTTGTATTTATGCACATTCAAGGAGTTTTCACGGTTTTGGACTTTATTTGCAATACAAGGCCATTGCAATAAAGAGTATTTTGACTTGATATAAAAGTATCCCTTTCCACAACATGACAACAACCCTCCATAAATGATGATCTTTTGCAGCTTTTTGCATAAAAATATCTTATTCCGCCTCACCAGAAGAGCTCGAGATTTATTTTTTTCTTTTCGTTTATACGATTATATAATCAACGATGCAATGGGCTAACTGACTTATTTGATTTGGCTGCGAAACTATAAAAGTTATAGACGGCTTAAGGTAAGGGGAACCCCCTTTAAAATGAAGTACAGCAAAATACCTGTTTTTGGGTTAGTTTGGTTTGACTTTCCCCGTCATTCCTTTTATTCTCTTCCCCGTCATTCCTTTATTTCTTTTCCTCCTCATTACTTTTATTTTTCATTAGAGTTGACGCAAAAAAAGGATGGATGGATGGAAGGAAGGAAAATAGAAAAGAAAGGACCCCATTACCAATGATATCATATCACTTGTGATTTTAATAGAGCATCCACTATCGAGCAGAGCGAGATAGTGGATCACTTAATAGCTTGTTAAACCTTGTTATGTATGTTTGCCCTCATCACCTTTTTTTTTTTTTTCCTTTCTTGATTTGCCTTGAGGCATTAACTTAAATACCGCAGATTCGTATAGAGTATGTTGAATCTGACTATGAATCTGTTACTGTTCCAGGTAAGCACCATTGCAAAAATAATAATAAATAGCTGTTTCCTTGGAAACCGAAAAAGAAACCTTTTAGTTACAGTTTTTACGTATCAGTTAAAGATTTTAACAAAGTGAGGAGTTGAAAAATCAGACAGAGATTTGCAGCTAATAATAAGAAGCAAGGTTTTCCCAATCGGGATAAATGACACACGAATTGAATTTAAAGTGTTCAATTACACAAAAGCAGCCCACTATGGAGCAGCCCACTATGGACCAACACTGACTAGTGACACTATCGAGCAGCACTGACTAATGATACTATCGAGCAGCACTGACTAGTGACACTAACGAGCAACACTGACTAGTGACACTAACGAGCAACACTGACTACCTATGACACTATTGGGCTGCCCTCTATCGAGCAACATTGACTACCTACGACACTATCTCGCTCTCCTCAATGGTGTCGGTTTTTCTTCCCTATTTACAGTTTCAATCCCGCACATTACAAGCATTTTACTAACAATGTGATAAAATATGCAAAAGAAGTGTACGTTTGAAAACAAAGAAAACAAGCAAGAAGAAACGTATCAGGAAATGGAAGAAGAAACGTATCATGAATTGGAAGAAGAAACGTATCATGAATTGGAAGATAACACATTTAAAAAAAGTATAATTTCTAAAGGATCATCTTTTTTTATTTTTGAAACACCGATTAGTCAAATAGGAAAAATACCTAATCGGGTTAGACGCAGGGGAAGAAGACGAAGAATCGGGGGAAGTAGGATGTGAGAAGAAAAAGGGCAAAGAACGAAATTTCAAAAAATGGAAACAAACTGTAGTCCTTGCTAAAAATGAAGATTGGTACCTACTTATTTTTAGTGTTGTTTCTAAACCTTGATAATGAGTTTTTTCTATAATTAGCAATTAATATAACTCCATCGAGCAGAACAATCAACAAAAAAAAAAAAAAACGCTACCAAAATCAATATTCAAGAGCTTTATATAGCAGTTTGTTTTTTTTTTTTGACTTTTCGTTGGTGCATCGGTATTCACACGTTTGCAGAGTGCATAAAAAATCTGTGCATATCCATCAAAGAGAGAGAGAGGGGGGGTTTATACGTATACCCTTCAAACTGTATCAAAAAGTCAGAACGGCGATAAAGCCCAAAAAGAAATGCTAAAACTAAAAAATTTTTTTTTTTTTTTTTTTTTTATCTCTCTTCTCTACAATGAAATTTCAGATTAAAATGAAATGTAGATCAACAAGGCCTGAACTAAGAAAGTTGTGGTGTCTCATGGCAAAATGGAAAGGGAAGCAAGAGGAGGGGGAAAGGGATATGGTACGCTATAGCAACAGTAAAATAGTAAAATACAAGTACAATATTAAAAGGCTGAAGATTATTAATTTTTCAAGATTCTCTTGTAGAAATATTTCTTTTTTGACGTATTCGTGAATCTTACATATTTTTTGTATGAGAAATATTATAAAGTAACTTCCCACCGCGCGCGCCCGTAGGGGTGATAATGGTGGGGAAGACCGGCCCAAAAAGAAAATGTAATGCGCCGAGAAATTCCACCACGTGTAGAAAAAAAAAATAAGCTTGGAATCATACGACACGGCACTTGAAATAATATAGTAATATAACCTCAATACAGCAAAAAAAAAAAAAAAAAAAAAAAGGTTGATCCATAGTGTAGGACAAGTAAGACAGATCTTATTGGTGCCATCCCACACGTATTTTGTAAGCAGGGTGACACCCTACAATATACATCCAATCTGTGTACATTAAAGTTTAAAGGCAAATAAATTTTGGGGGAAATTTTTCCCCCATGACTTTTTGCAAGAAAGCCTAATTGAGAATATTCATGATATTAAATTAAAATTGGCTTAATTTCTTAGTGAAAAATTATTTTAAAGATTGAAGGAAGGCTTCATTTTTTTTGCAAAAATATTGCATCTTTTAGTTGAATAGTCAAAAAGTGTCAAAAACAGAAGCCAAATGAAACAAAGTCAGAGAAACAAAAGTAGACCAGAATACAAGTGGATGATAAAGGATAATGTAGAAAGTATAAAAGTATATCGATATCCTCTTCCTTTTCCCCCATTTTTCTTTTGCATCGAGTCCTTTTTTTTTTTTTTCTTTTCCTTAAAAAGGTACAATTACAATTATATTAAAAGAACCCAACTTTCTTTGCATTCCTTTCATTTGAAACAAAATTGCTATCTCTGTCTGAGACAACTCTGTCCCCCTCAACAATACTTTATAATCTACTTGGTTTACACCACCTCACTTGCTACTTGCATCCACATTCCTTTTGTTAAACGCCCTATTGTTCCTTAAACTATTGTCCTATTGTTTAGCGCGCTCATTGCAATTCACGTGACCCAACTATAAGCAAAAATTAACGATAATTTTAAGCAATAACTAAATCCTTAAAACTTTCCTTATTAGTCTTTTTCTAAGTTCTGCACAACGTGAGATTAAAATAGGAAAGCAAGAGAAAAGGTAAGTGCTCATAATCAATAATTGAATCATTCTTTTCCTATTGAGAAAACACGTCTTAATCTTTGCGTCTTTTGGAATTGTCAATTGCTATAACTCCATCACTTCCAGTCTTTCCCCCCTCCCTCATCCCTTGGTTTTAATCCAACTGGTTTCCGCCTTCCCGTCTGCTTCCGCTTGGGTTTTTTTTTCCCCACCTACTTCCCACCAACTTTCCTTTTAACTTATCGGTACAGAACCGTTTCCTAACAACCCGGTACGACAACATTCATTTTCTTGCCTCGTACTCATTTACTCATTTTTTGTACCCGTCATTTTTTTTTTCCCCCATTGCAAACAGTCATTCATTTTGAAATACACGGGTTTTTTAAATCAGCTAAACTTTCAAGTAGTATCAACTTATCGCATTACCTTCAAGTCGTATCAACTTGCAAGTAGTATCAACTTTTCGCAAAACTTCCAAGTAATATATCGCAAAACTTTTTCGAACCAAACATATTTCATCCCATGCCAAGGTGAAGCTATTAAATTATTAAGAAAGACACATCAAGAAAAAAGAAAAAAAAAAAGGCAAAGCAAAGGTGGTCTATGGTAAATGTCGTCCTTATCAAAGCATTTGAGTCTATCTAATTCAAGTCCCAATGCAAATCCTTGTCAGTCTTTGAGTGTCTCGTTTAATCCAAGAACGCATCGCCATAAGCGGTCTCAGGCAATTTCTGGTGATTTTGATGGTTTAGGACTCTTCAATGTTCCTGGAACTGGAAATGCTAGTGCTGCTGGTGCTGCTGGTGCTGCTGGTGCTGCTGGTGCTGGCGGTGCTGGCGGTGGAGGACTAATATCCTCGCCTTTGTGTTCGTATATCACCACCACTGCGGCAGTCCAGGTTATTTCGATTCCTGAGCCAAAAGAAAAAGCATTTGAGTTGGCTCACACACCAATTAATCTAGATGACTTGGACCGGCATTTCCAGTTTGATAATAAGGAGGACTTTGTAAATCACCCAACAGACTCTAATTTTTCATTTCCCAAGAGCGATTGTCAAGAAGGGGAAGAGCAACAACAACAACAACAACAGCAGCAGCAGCAGCAGCAACAACAACAACAACACAAAGGATTTATGGGTGTTTATTCTAGTCATATGAACCAATCATTGAAGAGCTTGAGCTCGCCGATACAATTGCACAACAAATCATCACAATTATCCCTTAGGCAACAGTGCTCGACTCCTACCCAAAGTGATGTACCGGATGCAGTTATTGATTTGGACTATATCCTAACGGCAAATTTACACATTGGATCTAGTATGGACGAGCCTCAGATGTTTATTCAAGATGAGTTTTTGGGATCACCAGCGATTGCAGAAGAAGAGGATATAGAGGATAGGACTGTTATGGCATTAGATGTTGTTGATTCGAGTGAATGTGATTTACCATTACAACAACCAACAAACTTTTACTCACTGGCAAATTCATCTTCATCTAGTTTTACCTTTAATAGTAATAACCCTACAGCAACACCTACACAACAAAGATCAGGTGCAAAAGCTAACCGGTATCAAATTTTTTACGATCAATCGAATAGGATATCAAATGCAATGAAGGGTCCATATTTTGAAAACGTCGATAGGCTAGCTACACCTCCCATGCATGCACAAACACAAACGCAAACACAAACGCATTCACAATCACAAGTACAAATACAACAGCAACCTAATTTCCGTAAAAAGTATTTAAATCATTACTCCTCGCTACCTTCACTAAAGAACAAACGATCATTCTCCTCGGGTAGGTACCATGATTTGAAGAAGGTTTCATCGCCAACGAAAGATTTTTATAAATCGGCTCATCTTTCAATGTCACCAACAAGATACAGTTCGGAAATAAATTTCAACCATGATTTTCAAGAGTTGCCCTCGTTGCACCCACCTGTACCTCAAAGCACAACACCCTCTACTTTGGGAACCCAATCTACAGACGAATCCAGAAACAAGGTATATTCTTCTGCAAGTCCTACTAGCATCAACTCGGAGATTTCCTCAATGGTTATCGATGACACCAAGACGAAACGAAAGGAGAATGATTTATCCTCATCAGTGATTACAAATCAAAATCAAGAGCTAATACACAAACAACTGGCGGCACCTGCTCTTTTCCACGCTCCACCACAAGGTGAAAACAATAGAAATTCACTCAAGAGCGAGTCTACAATATCGACTTCAAATAAGTCATCAGTGTCAACAGTATACCCCTCGGCAATAGAGACTTTACCGCAATCGCCAATATCCAAATCTGTATCGCCTAGAAATAGAAGCATAAGTCCAATAAGGGCGTCTTCTTCCCCGCAAACAAGAAGAGCACGGACAAGGATGGAAACGCAAATCTTGAAGCAAACACAAATTCCCAAATTGAAGAAAGACATACAATCAACAGATTGTCTTCAAACCAATCCTAATAATTCAGGTGTCATGACACCCTTGTCAGCATCTACATCATCCTCCATAGCATTATCGGCATCAATCTCAGAAGATAAACAAATCATTCAAGATGACAATTTGTTTGTAAATACACAGCCCATATATAAAAAAAAGGGCTATTACCACCACTACCATAGACGAAGCAAAAGTATGGTTGAGGATACTTTTCGAATCAAGAACAACACGGCTTCTTCTTCTTCTTCTTCTACCACTTCGTCATCTAGACGTAGCTCAAAGTTTTTTGACTGGCTCAAAAAGAAATAGTATTTCTGAAACGATGATATTACCTTACTAATTAATATTATAACTATATAATAATAAATTGGGTGTTTATTTCTAAACAAGCCCAAGGCCTCTTCTTTTAGGACTTCCCCTCCTCCTGTAGTATTCTCTGCAATTGACACGGCTGACGTTTTGATTGGCAGTTGACTCCAACACGTTTGTATCGTAACAGGAAAAAAATAAAAATAAAAAATTTCACACTGAAAAAAAAAAATTTCAATCGCCAATTGTAAGACAATAATAGTACCTTTTCCTTTCCATTAGCATAAACTACTCCAATATGAGTCTCGTATGCCTTGGAAACCCATTGCTTGACCTCCAATTAAATGTGAGTGAAGAGTACCTCAAGAAATACGACTTGAAGGAAAACGACGCTATTCTTGCTGAAGCAAAGCATTTACCAATCTATGATGAAATCATTGGTGAGAAAGATTTGATATTAGTTGCTGGTGGTGCAGCGCAAAACACCGCTAGAGGTGCTCAGTACCTCCTTCCTCCCAATTCGGTAATTTACTTTGGCTCAGTAGGTAATGACGTTTATGCGGAGAGATTAAATGAAGCAAATGTAGTATACGGTCTCACCACGAGGTACCAAATCCAAAAAGATTATGCTACTGGGAAATGTGCTGCATTGATTACGAACCATAGTAGATCTCTTGTCACTGATCTTGCAGCTGCCGATCACTTTACTCCGGATCATTTGCAAAAACCCGAGAATTGGACCTTGGTAGAAAATGCCACTCATTATTATATTGGGGGATTCCATTTAACAGTATCTCCTGAAGCAATAAAACTTCTTGGTGAGGAAGCTGTTAGCAAGGGCAAACCACTTGCACTCAACTTCTCTGCTCCATTTATTGCCCAGTTCTTCAAGGACCAATTAGATTCAGTCTTGCCCTATGTCGATTACGTCATTGCCAATGAATCTGAAGCCGAGGCTTATGCGCAATCGCATGATCTCAACACTAAAGACGTTGCAGAAATAGCCAAACACGTTGCCAAATTACCCAAGAAGAGTAAACTTCCTCGTGTAGTAATTTTCACTCAAGGAACAGATCCAACCATTGTTGTGAGTAGTGAAGATTTACAAGTGAAACAATACCCAGTTAAGCCATTAGCAAAGGAGAAAATCGTTGACACAAATGGTGCGGGAGATGCATTCGCTGCTGGGTTTATGGCTTCACTTGTTGAGGGTAAGGAATTAGCAGAAGCAATTGATGTAGGACAATGGACCGCGGCATTGTCGATTCAACAAGTTGGACCTACTTTCCCATTCCCTAAGGAGAAGTACAATAAGGAAGAGAATTAACTATAGTAGTTATGGCCATTCTTCTTCTCCCTTACTTATTGAGTAAATTGTAGAAATTAGAGTAGTTATGGTCGTTTCTCTCCTCCTTTACTTGTTAAGTATATTACTGAAATTAGAGTAGTTATGGTCGTTCCTCGCTCTGCCCGATAGTGTCCCCGACAGTGTCAATCAGTGCTGCTCCACTAGCTCGTTTTACTCGCTAGTGTCATTATAGAGTAGTTATGGTCGTTCCTTGCTCTGCTCGATAGTGTCCCCGACAGTGTCAATCAGTGCTGCTCCACTAGCTCGTTTTACTCGCTAGTGTCATTATAGAGTAGTTATGGTCGTTCCTTGCTCTGCTCGATAGTGTCCCCGACAGTGTCAATCAGTGCTGCTCCACTAGCTCGTTTTACTCGCTAGTGTCATTATAGAGTAGTTATGGTCGTTCCTTGCTCTGCTCGATAGTGTCCCCGACAGTGTCAATCAGTGCTGCTCCACTAGCTCGTTTTACTCGCTAGTGTTATTACAAGCTTATTCTTTGCGTTATAACAACTACCAATTTTGTTTTTCAACTTTTTTGCACCCATGCTGCAACATGGCCAATGTGGCAAAGTAAAAGTAAACCCCTGTTGAACACCCCCACCCCCCACCCCATCTACCGTCATATACTAACACATATAGCCTTCAAGGAACGATTTACTTTGTTTAATAAGGTAGATGGAGACTAGTGTTGATAAAACGTTTTTATCAAGAAAATTAAAGATAACTCTCTCCTTGTTAAAAAATAAACGTTTATAACATTTAGCTTTCGTATCTTTAGTGAGTCTATCAGATAGGCAGGTACTTTTTGCCACAGCAACGTTCTATAAGAATCCCTAATAAAGAGGCATAAGAGCCTCTTCTACTTAGTAGTCTCATCTAAATTTTTAAGAAAAGGGGAGGGGGGAGAAGGGGGGTGTGGTTGTACTATTATCTAATTTGTTGCACCCCACAACTTTAATTGAATTGTACTAATAATAAATTTGTAAAACCAACTTAACGTTCTAAATACACACCACAACTCAAATACTTGGGCTCTGACCATGGATGTTGGACCCTACAAACTCTTTACAATAAACCAAATAGGTACTACCATCGGTTATTCTTAGGTCAACTTGTGCCTTCTTTGTTCTTTTTTTGTTTTTAAAGCCGATCAGCAGATCTCCGGTATTGAGAAAATGCCGTTCCTTCTCTTTGATTTTTTTCTCCCTTCTTTTATTTTTCAAGTAAAGTTGTATACTATAGACATTGTTTAAATTTATTCCCAAGGACCCAGGTACGCTCACGCTCACGCTCATTTGACACAGGTATTACTTGTACTGTTTTTGTTGATATGTCTACGGAAACAGTAACGGCAACAGAAATAGAGGCTGAACACAGCTTCAAGGAGAATCTTCATGTGTTTAACTTTTATCGAGCCTTGAAAAGGGCTCAAGAGAACCCTCGTGGGTTAATTCATTATTACCAATTACCGCTAGGCTGGAGAGAAAACAAGTATATTATTGAAGGTTATAGGTTCAGTGCGAAACATTCTAAAATGTGGAAAAGTGTGTTTGCATGGCACAACGAGTCCATCAATATATGGTCTCATTTGATTGGCTTGGCTATTATGATCTATATAGCATTTGTGCACTATCCCAATAGTGTAGTCTATCAAAATGGTGGGAAATGGGATGTGCTTGTCATTTATGCCTTTTTGGTCGCATCTATGACTTGTTTGGCTAGCAGCTCTATCTGGCATACATACTCATCTTTTGCACATTACCCAAGCAGATGCAATTTCGCATGCATCGATTACACAGGAATAACCATACTTATTACATGTTCCATTATTGCAGTCGAGTACGTGGCCTTGTACCACCATGCAAACCTTGTCCATATTTACATTCCCTTTTCCACACTACTTGGTATTGCTGGGTTCTTTTTTAACTGGAGTAGCCATTTTGACAAACCCGAATGCCGCTCATTAAGAATTTGGTTCTTTGTTGGATTAAGCTTTCTGGGTGTCACTGCAATGTTATGCAAAGCATACTATGAAGGTTTCTTAAATGCTTTGAAGTTTTTCATGCCTTTATCATACAAGAGTTTTATCTGGTATGGTTTAGGTGTTGTTTTTTATGGTGGATTAATACCAGAACGCTGGAGATACGATATAATTATAGAGAACAATGCAAACTTTCAGGGTTCGCAACACCACTACTCGATTGTGGATGTAATAGATGACAATGTTGCACGAGCAGGTGATGAAGAAATTGAAGTCTTGATTGAGGAGTACGCCGAGAAGGAGGACCATGGTCATAATGACTGTGCTTCTGAAGTGAGAAAAAGGGCTGAAAAAGCAGAAATGAGAAATTTAAACAATGTGAGCACCAGCAGTGACAACAACAACAATGGTGAAGATGACGACGACAAGTTTAAAAATTTGATAAGTAAACACTTTAAAGAGGAACCTATAAGAACACCTTATGCCAATAACTTTATGTCATTATGGTGGGTCGATTACTTCTTAGCCAGTCATAATATTTGGCATATATGCGTTCTTTTGGGAATATTAGGTCACTATGTTGTCATCTTGGATATGTTTAGTGAGGTTTTGTTGTAATGTGGATGATTATCACATTTATTGGTTTTTCGGTTTCTTATGGACATGTCGACCGAGGTTTTATGGTTGTTTCTTTTATATATATATATATAATAATAATGAATTACGTTTTGGGGTATTAACGGAACAGATCGAACTGGTCAACCGAATTGGGCAGATACTATCGAGCGATACTATCGAGCGACACTATCGAGCGACACTATCGAGCGACACTATCGAGCGACACTATCGAGCGATACTATCGAGCAGAGCGAGATAGTAGAGCAACACTTAGTAGACACTATCGAGCGACACTATCGATCGACACTACATAGTAGATTGTCTAGGAAGTCTCTACTTAATGCAGGTGAAGCAGAGGGAGGAAGTAGAGAGACACTGGGGAGCAGAGTGAGCTAGTGGAGCAGTACCGATTAGTTTGTTATAACACTATCTCACTCCGCTCGATAGTAGAGCAGTACCGATTAGTTTGTTATAACACTATCTCGCTCCGCTCGATAGTGGAGCAGTACCGATTAGTTTGTTACAACACTATCTCGCTCCGCTCAATAGTTCATCCCTGTATCTCATCCTGGGTTGTTTTGCCTTGATTCTGATATTCGCGGAACGAAATCGGAACGAAACATTAACCGAGGTTCCCCCACATTGCAAAAAAAAGGAAAAAATTGGGGGATTTGAATCAAAGAAGGTATAAAAACCAGGATATGAAAGACCCAGTTTCAAAGGGTTAATGAACAAATCTCTTATTCTCTTACTACTCTCAATGTCTTCCTTATTCTCACTAAAAGGACAAGTTGCCGTTCTTACAGGTGGTACTAGTGGTATAGGACTCGGTTACGCCAAGGGTCTTGCTCTGGCTGAATTAAGACAATTGATCTTGACGTACCGCTCAGAGGAAAGTCTTAATAAAGCAATCGACGAGATTAAACAGGTCAATTCCAGTTTGCTAATTGACGCCGTTAAAGTTGATTTTTTAGAAGATGACGAAGATGAGCTTGTTGAAAGAATTTTTACCCAATCTTATAAACTTTCGCAATCAGGCTCAATTGATATATTAATCAATAATGCCGGAATAACAGAACGGTTCCCCTTTGAACAGTTCCCAAGTGACAAGTTCAATGATGTGTTAAAAATAGACCTTAACATCCCCGTAAAACTAACAAAACTATTTGGAGGGAAAATGCTTGAACAAAAGACCCAGGCAAAAATTGTATTTACAGCGTCGCTACTTTCTTTTCAAGGTGGTATGTTATCTACACCTTATGCCATTGCCAAAGGTGCCTTGAAACAATTTACTCAAGCCGTTTCAAATGAATGGTCATCGCGCGGCATCAGAGTCAATTCTATCGCACCAGGCTATGTTGAAACCAAACTCACAGATTCAATGGCTGCTGAAAATAAGGACCTCGTTGATAAGAGAATTCCTATGAAAAGATGGGGCCATCCCGATGATTTCATGGGTCCAATTGTGTTTCTCACTAGTGATGCATCGAAATATGTTACAGGAGAGACTTTAGTAGTTGATGGCGGCTGGTTAAGTCGTTAAAAAAAACAGATTCCACTCCAGTCTACTGCAGTCCACAGCATCCAGCATCTCTCTATCGGCATCTCTCTACTGGCATCTCTCTACTGGCATCTCTCTACTTTCAAATTCCACCAGCTTCTCTATACCATCTAATACCTCTGTCGAAACTGACAACGCAGATTCCGTCATTATTGTCACCGCCAGCGCCGCCTCTAATACCCTTTTTAATAAATTTAACACCACTAGCAATACTCTCATCTTGCTGATCAGTCGTAGTGTCATCGAAATCAGAAATGGAGATATTTATAGTGGCCTCTCTTTCCCTGGTATCCAAGTCCCAAACTCGCACACACTTATCGAATCCACAGCTAACCAAATTTTTCCCCGTTTCATCAAAATCAAGCCCCATAATCCACCCTTGATGAGCAAACCCACCAACTACGCTTTTTGCCGAATGCGACGGCGTCGCAAGTGTCCCCACATTCTCTCCATATTGAACATCGTATAGCGTAATAGAGCCTGCTGCTTGATTGTCTCTTGCCACAGCAAGCAAGGTGCCACCAGGTGAAAATGCCAAAGCTCTAGGAACCGAAGAGGAAGAGTTTAGCTTTGGGTTTCTGCTCACTACTAAGTCGGTGGATTTAAACGTATACACCAACTTTAGTGTTTGGAAATCATAGAGCAAGACATTCCCATTCATATGCCCCACTGCACATTTTTTGTTCTCTGTCTGATTCACAGATAAAGAATTGGAAAAGGATGAGCTAGGCCAGGATCGCGATGAACCAGTTGTTGTAGAACCACCCAAATCTCCATATTTTTCAAATTTGATAGAAACTTCCTCTTCTTCTTCCTCCTCCTCTTTGCTCTCGATACTCAAAGTATACACCTCAGTCACCCCATTCATCTTGGTAACCAAAAAAAAATCCTGTTTGTTTTCGGGATCAACATAAAATCCAGGTATCCAACATTTTTCCAATTTAAATGCAATATCCTTTATCCTTGCAAAATCACCATTGATGTAATACTTGAAGAAAATCTCGCCATTGAAACAAGCAAATGCCAAAATAGTAACCTGCACAGTCGAGCTCGGTATTTTATTTTCATAAACCGATAAATGATGAATTCCACTTGCATTTATAAACAACGATTGAACAAAGTCCGTGGGTTGATGCACCTCATCCTTCTTGTTATCCCAGAATTTGGCATATCCATCGCTCGAAATTGATATAGTATACTTGGAAGTAATTTCAACACCATATATATCCGACTTATGAGCCTTAGAGGCACTCACCGTGCTAATATACTGCTTTCCCATCCCTGTCTACTTGAAGAAAGACGAACCTTTTTCATCCTCGATTTGATTTTTCATTTTTTTTTCAAAGTGAAGGAATGAAAAAAAAAAAAAAATTGTAGACTATGGAATACTTGGTTTCTTCATCTATAAAGGTATTAGAGTCGGTATACGTTGTGGAAAGAGGAAGGAAGGAAGGAAGATGTCGAGGGAGTTGAAGCAGCTGATTGCGGAACAGTATATATTCCGAAGCTCGGTGCTGCAATTACTTGAATCCAGCAAAAAGGAGTCAACTTGTTTACCATACAATAAGTTAATCTGTAAGAACAATAGTGAATTGTATCTTGCGGTAGATAACCTTGTTAGATGTTGCAATATTAGCCCAATTACCAAGAATTATAAATTGCTAAAAACATTTGATGCTAGTTTTGAAGTTAAGCTGCTTGTAATGAATGAGTCGAGTACGTTGTTGGCGGTTGTTGGAGAATCAAATGTTGATATCGTGGTATTACCTACACCGCATCTTGAGACCCAGCAGAGTTCTGCATATGTTGATACGACAAGTTATAGAGTCCAAATTCCGGGCAAGATCAGGAAATGTATATGGCAGTCCATATGCGCCAACGATTCAATGTTTGTTGTGTTGAATGATAATTCTGAAATTTTTGGATTTGATATTTTGAAGTCAACAAAGATACCGCAAATCCGTATCAAGATTGAAAATGAAAAAATAAACTCAATAACTTTTGGTTCTAGAAGCAAAATCGGCGATGGATTGAGAATCTTTGCTAGCACAGATGATAAAATATTTGCATTGAATTTTTACCACAAGGGTACCAAAATCGCAGTCTCCGAAGGTGCAGTCGATTTAGCTATCGTTGATTCTCAAACGGTTATCTCGTTGATAATAGATAAATTTGGTGATGATCCTAAAAACTCGTATCTACTTCGACTGGCTTTGGAACAACTCAATTTATATAAATCGTTTAAAAATCAGTTGAGGCATAATGTAAGAGAAGTAAGAGGAACGGGCTCTGATGAGCCATACGAGTTATTTAAAGTAGATTTAAATTTTTTAAACTCGAGCCAAATTGATTATTCTCCAAATACAGTAGCAAATTTTGGAGCCGATGATCTAATATCGTTTGGAGGCAATGAACAAGTGACGTTACTCGCAATGATAAAAAATAATACCATTTCATACTTTATCAATATTCTAGATTGTGGATTTATCAAGCACGAGGAACCAGCAGGAGCAAATTATACTAAGCCAAAGAAAGGATTTGGTTTTGTTGATACTTTTGATGAAGTCAATGCAGAAAACATATTCTGGGAAAATGAATTGTGTGTCCTTGATTATTTACAATCGGACAAACTACCAGCTAAAGGAGGAGGAGGAGGAGGAGCATGCATTTTACAAAACATAAATAACTGTGATAACAAGTTTGTTGCCGTGATTGACTCAGATATAGTTGTGGTGGACTGTGCCTGGGTTGAGGATTTCTTGTCAGAATTGCAAAATGATGTAAAATATGATTTTAGCCCTCACAAAATCAGACCGACTTATAACTTGCTTTCGTCAGGAGATGATCTTCAAGGTTTTGCGTTTGTTAATAAATTTCAACAGGAAATTGTCATTGTTGTTAGAGAACAATTGGAACTTGTGAAATTAACCACAGAGCCAGAAGAGGAGAAAAAATTGATTGCCGCTGGTGATCAACCCAAGACTAAAGATTCTTCAAGGATTGTGCCACAGTCACAACTAGATACAACCACGCTATTTACAGAACCTTTTGCTGAAATTGAAGAATATTTACGCAAACTCAAAGTCTCAACTATTGTTAGCTCCACAAAGGCAACTAATCTCAATCCAGCAATTGAAAACTTGGAAGAACTCAATAAGATCTCTCAAGTGACTAATAGCATAATTTCTAACTATACGGTTTTTGCGGTGAAATTGCAATCGCGTGTTATAACCCAGTTGCAATCAGTTAAACTTCAATTTGAACGACTACAATCTATTTCCAGTATAAAGCCCTACAATGAAAAACACAGTGATAGAATTTGCAAGCTCTTTGAGCGACAAAAACAATTGGATTTGAAAATGAAGGTGATACAAGATAAAATTAGTGACCAATTCTACAAAGCGAAAGATCTTCCATTGTCTGTAGCGGAGAAAAAGTACTTTGAGGAGATTAATACATGTAACAAAACGTCGAAAGAGTTGGTTAGGAAATTGGATGAGTATAAGGAGCAAGTGGAAAGAATTAATAAAGAAAAAGAAAAACTCAGCACAAACAAGGAAGAAGAAAAGAAAGAAGAAAACGAACAAGTATTACAAACATTGCAATTAGAACAAAAAGTGAAGAGGTTGATTGTCTGGTTGAAATCACAGGATGCAGATATTAATGATATGATGAAGAAGGTAAAGATTGCTGTGCAATGAAAAATAGTGATAAGGAATAGGGAATAGTAATAAAAATGAGGAGGCGAGGTGGCATTCAAACCCGTGTCTTTTCTTTCAATCTTCAGTATCAGTCTTGTATAGATTGTAGCTTCTATTCTACTATCGAGCAAAGCGAGAGAGTGGAACAACACTGACTAGCTGGCTACTCCACTATCGAGAAAAGCGAGAGAGTGGTACAAATAATGGAACAACACTGACTAGCTTGCTACTCCACTATCTCGCTCTGCTCGATAGTGGTACAATACGGACTAGCTGGCTACTCCACTATCTCGCTCTGCTCGATAGTGGTACAAGTAATGGTGTAATTTAATCGTGTTCTCTTAAAGAATATATTTTGCTAGTGTTAATTAAGTTCTCTCAGTTGAAAAAAAAAAATCATGGGTATCAACAAAACGCTAAGCACTCTTGTTCAAAGATAAAGGTTGGTATTTCTTCATCCTAGTAGGCGCTGCTGTTCCAGTTACGTTAAAGTATAGACAATGACAGATGTTAGAGCATCGTCTGTTACGCCAAATGACTACATTCTAAGCTTATCTGAGGCTCAAATAGACCATGACCAAAAAATTGGTATAAAAGCAATAAGGTTATTCTTGCAAAGCAAAACATCGTATGATGTTCTTCCAGTGAGTTACAGATTGATTGTATTAGATACCTCATTACTAGTGAAGAAATCGTTAAACATTTTATTACAAAATAATATCATTTCGGCACCATTATGGAATAACAAAACTTCGAGATTCGCGGGATTATTAACATCGAGCGATTTTATCAATGTGATACAGTACTATTTCCAATTTCCCGAGAAATTCGAGTTGGTTGACCAATTGACTTTGGATGGATTACGCGATATTGAAACGGCTATAGGCGTAGATCAAATAGAAACCGCATCAATACATCCATTCAAGTCCTTATACGAAGCTTGTGTCAAGATGTTGAATTCAAAGGCCAAAAGAATTCCGTTATTAGACACCAACGAAAACGAAGCAAAAGATATAGTTGTCAGTGTATTAACGCAATATCGTATTTTGAAATTTGTTGCTTTGAATTGCAAAGAGACCAAGATGTTGTTGAAACAAATTCAACATACCGAGCTCAACAAACAGAAGGAAATAAGCACGTGTACCATGGATACCCCTGTTATAGAAGTTATCCACTTGCTCACTTCAAAGTCGGTGTCTTCTATCCCCATTGTAGATACCGAGGGTAAATTAATCAATGTCTACGAAGCCGTTGACATTTTGGCATTAGTAAAAGGAGGAATGTATACAGACTTGGATTTATCTGTAGGAGAAGCACTATTGAGAAGATCAGAAGATTTTGAAGGTGTCCACACATGTACTGTAAAAGATAGATTGAGTACAATAATGGATACAATTCGAAAATCAAGACTACACAGATTATTTGTTGTTGACGATGAAGGAAAGTTGGTCAATGTTATTACATTGAGTGATATTTTGAACTATATATTGTTTGGTGAAGACTAACGACACTAGCTCTTAACACTATCGAGCAACACCCACAATAGCCATACTAGCGAGCTTGTGGAGCATTACTATCTCTTAACACTATCGAGCATCACCCACAATAGCCACACTAGCGAGCGAAGCGAGCTAGTGTCGAGGCTAGTCAGTGGGCAGCTAGTCAGTGGGCAGCTAGTCAGTGGGCAGCTAGTCAGTAGGCAGCTAGGCAGTGGGTAGTTAGTCAGTGTTTCTCCACCATCTCGCTCTGCTCGATAGTGTCGAGGCTAGTAATGGTCCTCTAGCTCGCTTCGCTCGCTAGTGTCGCTTTCTACTCTTTTTTCAATGTCGCATTTGATTTTATTTGTCCTTTTTACGACATTTATCGTCAACGGAATTGAAAGCCAAATTAGGAAAGAATAAACCCCGATAAGAATCTCAAGCTCATCGCAGCAATTATTTTAAAGTATGTATATATAAATCAGGCATATCTTGATATCAGGTTGAGGCTCGAGGGCAGGTTATATTGTTATGTTATTATGTCTGTTGAAGTTAGTAGTCATGTTGAAGTTACTGGGGAAAGGAAGGTTGGATATCTAGAGAAGCTAAGTCTTCCTCAAGTTACTATCCGAGCGACTTTAGTTGGATTAGTAATTGGGTCAGTTATTCTTATATCGAATTTTCAGTTTGGTTTACAAACAGGATGGGTTTCTATGATGTCTCTACCTGCGGCCTTGCTAGGTTTTGCTACGTTCAAGCTAACACCCTTGGCGCAGGATTTCACTGATGTGGAAAATGTCTATATTCAAAGTATTGCTGTTGCTGTGGGGACAGGACCCCTTGCTTATGGATTCATTGGTATTATTCCAGCAATTGAAAAGTTTCTAACGCCACAAGAGTCGGGTATCGGGAAGCATATCATTTTTTCAACCAAGGAGTTGATAATATGGTCTATGGGATTAGGATTATTTGGAGTGTTTTTCGCTATTCCCTTGAGAAATCAAGTGATTATTAAAGAGAAACTTGCCTTTCCCTCTGGGAGCGCTACGGCAACATTGATATCTGTGCTACATGGTACAGAGGTTTTTGAAGATGAAAGCGACGAAGAAGCAAAAGGAGAAGAAGAAGAAGAAGCAGAGGAGCAATTGAAGAACCTACAAGGGGGTGGTGGTGGTGGTGGAGGAGGAGGAGGAGTCGATTTTCCAAGCTTACAACGAGAAACTTCTACTACCCAACTCTTGAAGGCTACCGACTACAACAGCAATATGCAATCACTAGGAATCACCTTTGGTATATCTGCAGTGTATACTATAGTATCGTTTTTTTTCCCCATACTAAAGAGATTGCCAATATTTGGAACTTGGATGTCCAAGAGATACCTTTGGGATTTTCAACCATCACCTGCATACATTGGTCAAGGCATTATTATGGGATTACCTACTGTTTCATATATTTTATTTGGTGCAATACTAGGTTGGGGAGTTTTAGCGCCGTTGTCGAAACATATGAAATGGGCACCAGGCGAAATTGACGATTGGATGGAAGGTGGTCAAGGTTGGATATTATGGATTAGTTTAAGTATCATGGTTGCAGATTCGCTTATTTCCTTTATTGTGCTTAGCATCAAGTCGGTCATCTCGTTTTTCGATGATTTGAAAAGGAGAGAACGTTTGTATGCAAACTCATTGGAGCTTCAACAACCATTGACTGCCAGTTATAGCAATCCAGGTGTTAATGACGAAACTATTAACAGCCATAATACCACCTCCTCCAAGATCACTACCTCCACCACCTTGTACGCCGAACCACGGAACCGGCAAAAGGTTGTCGAAGTGCCCCTGGAATTCCTTATTTCCAATAAAGTGGCAATTGTAGGAACAATATTCTCATCCATATTGTGCATATGTACGCTTTACTGGATTTTTGGCGAGTTGATTCCCATATATGCATCGATAACAGCTATATTACTAGCAATGCTATTCAGCGTGCTTGCCACAAGAACTCTTGGTGTTTCCGACATTAACCCGGTGAGTGGGATTGGCAAATTGTCACAACTTATCTTTGCCCTCATCATCCCTTCCGACCATCCAGCAAAAGTATTGATCAACTTGATATCAGGAGGCGTTGCAGAAGCAGGAGCACAACAAGCTGGAGACTTGATGCAAGATTTGAAAACTGGTCACATGGTTGGTGCCGCTCCAAAAGCTCAATTTGTTGCTCAAATAATAGGTACCATATTTTCCGTGTTTCTCAGTTCCATCATGTACAGGGTATACCAATCTATTTACGAGATTCCTAATGACATATTTCGTATTCCCACGGCAATAATTTGGATTGACTGTTCAAGATTGGTTACTGGAGAAGGTCTACCGCCAAAAGCGATGGAGTTTTCCATAGTCTTTGGTGTTGTTTTTGCCTTGATATCCTTATTGAAAAACACATTACCACAAACTTCAAAGTTTCACAAGCATTTGGTATGGTTACCAAATGGTGTCGCCGTAGGGATTGGTATCTACAACACACCCAATTTTACACTCGCGAGGTTTCTAGGTGGCCTCATAGCTTACTACTGGGCAAGATTAAGTAGCAGAGGAAGAATAGGAATGATCATATTTAGCAGTGGCCTCGTTCTAGGAGAAGGTCTACTAAGTGGATTTACGATGCTACTCACAAGCCTAGGAGTAAAACATTTTTAAACAGTATTATTATATAGACCCTAACCAAATCTTTTTAGATACAATTTTTCTGTTTTTTTAATTATACATGTACCATAAGCTATACAAAAAGCTTATTCTTTCTTTGTATATATATATATATATATATATATATATATATATATTACCTGGCGTTTCTTTCTCTATCAGCATTGATCCTTTGATTTATCAAATAGATTGCCTTTTGGAAAGAATCTATGCCTCCTGTTAAGGTAAGCTTTCTAATATTAGTCAAACCCCTACCTCCCAACATAATAGATTGGCCTCTATCAGGTTCGATCTTGACATAGGAACAACCACTATTCTCTCTAATGTGCTTGATATTATTTCCGCCTCTTCCAATAACTGAACCAATCAGTGAATTAGCAACGTAAATATCCTGATTGTACTTGTCGCCCGAACGAACAGGAGGATTAATAATAACCTCGCCAATGATAGTGTTATTGTACTCATCGGTGTACTGGTCTTGATGAGGTACACCTGCAGAAATACCAGGTGCTTGTTGTGGCGGAAGTGCTCCATAACTATTCTGTGGCTGAACAGAAGGTTGAAACATCATTGAAAAATCATACTGCAGTGGCGGCTGTTGTTGTGGTTGTTGTGGTTGTTGTTGTTGTTGTTGCTGTTGCTGTTGTGAAGATCTTTGAAATGGCGAGGTCATTTTGTTTTGAAACATTGGGTTGGCTCCATACTGTTGTCCCAATTGACCCAAAGGTTGTTGCTGATGCTGCTGTTGTTGTGATGGTGGTTGCTGTTGCTGTTGCATGTTTGAGTATTGCGACTGCTGTTCAAATGGCAGGTTTTCAGGCTGATAGTTTGCAGGATTGTATAATACAACTTTATTCTTTTTCAATGTATCCTGATGTTCAATAATCACCAATGATATAAAGTAGATAGCAATGTGGATTGCATCGGCAACTCCCATGACACTCAAGACTCTATCAGTAGAATAAGGCAAAGGTTGCTCTGCAGCTTTCAATTTTGCAGCTGAGTTTTCTTCAATTTCTCTGAATTTCAAGCCCTGCTTCCCAATAATAAACCCAACTAGAGGATGTGGTATCAATAACTTCAAGTTGTATTGTTGACTATTCATATTTGCCGGTTCATCCTCGGGTTCGTTTAATATAGTTCGGGTAATCAAATTAAAGGCCTTAGCAACATTCTCGGCTGGGCCCTTCACGCTGACTATTCTCTCGGGCACTCCTCTGATATTATCGCTAATCTGGATTCTTACATTAGCCTTTTCTCTAAGATGGTTTATCTTGGCACCTTGTTTGCCCACAATAGTGCTTGCTTCTTTTACAGGAACGTACATTCTGAGGGAAACAAAGGTTGGGTCCAGTTCTTTTTCCCTATGGTTAGAAACAGGTTTAGACGAAGAGGGCGGGGACTCATACTCGGTAGTTGCAGCGGCAGCAACAGGGGCATTTGGTTCCACTGGGGCACCAATAGCAGCAGCATTAGTAGTAGTAGTAGTAGTAGTAGTAGCAGTAGTAGCAGGAGCAGAAGCAGAAGCAGAAGCAGCAGCAGAAGGAGGAGGAGCAGCAGCAGCAGAAGAAGAAGGAGGAGGAGGCGCGAGATCCGACAACAAAGCAGCCTGTTCCAAGATCTGTTGGACAGTTTGGGCACCGGTAAGTTCTGGTTTGCTCGAGACGGGTTGAGGCGGCTCTACTTCAGTTTTTTCGTCATTTGAAGAGGCGTTTGAAGAGGCATTTTCAGAGCTGGAATCATGTTTTGCCGAGGGGGCAGTAGTTACGTCTACCTCTTCAGAGCCCTCCTGCCTTGAATCTTCTTCTTCTTTTTCTTCTAATGGTGGTTCTTCTTGTTTTGGTTCTTCCAATTCAGCTAGAGTTCCGATACTTGGCGCAGTGTGTACTTTTTCCTCATCCTTATCATGCAAGTCCAATTGCTCGCTATCTAAGGCAACTCTTTTGTTTTGATTCGACAGAGTGGACTGATTATCATTTACTTCATTTTCATTAACTTCTAATTCTTCATTTTTACGCTTTAAAACGTTACTAGGAGTTTCGCTGGTGGGAACTTCAGACATTTCTTAATAAAAAAAATAGATAACAAAATAAGTTTTAGAACCTAATTTAGATGAAAGATTAGAGTCTGAGATAATAGTACTATTAGAAACGTAGTCAGGGGAGCAGTCAAGTCTATGATGGATGTTGAAAGAAGTAACCAATCGAGTTTGAATTTTCGTGGCTGAGAAGAAAAAAAAAAAACTTCATCACATTGGTAAAAGTGCACGACTATGGGGAGCGGAGCGGCGTGACGCCATCGAGCGACGCCATCGAGCGACACTATCGAGCAGGGCGAGATAGTGTCGATGAGAGCTAGTGTGCTCCACTATCGATGAGAGCTAATGTGCTCCACTATCGATGAGAGCTAGTGTGCTCCACTATCGATGAGAGCTAATGTGCTCCACTATCGATGAGAGCTAATGTGCTCCACTATCGATGAGAGCTAATGTGCTCCACTATCGATGAGAGCTAATGTGCTCCACTATCGATGAGAGCTAATGTGCTCCACTATCGATGAGAGCTAATGTGCTCCACTATCGATGAGAGCTAATGTGCTCCACTATCGATGAGAGCTAATGTGCTCCACTATCGATGAGAGCTAATGTGCTCCACTATCGATGAGAGCTAATGTGCTCCACTATCGATGAGAGCTAATGTGCTCCACTATCGATGAGAGCTAATGTGCTCCACTATCGATGAGAGCTAATGTGCTCCACTATCGATGAGAGCTAATGTGCTCCACTATCGATGAGAGCTAATGTGCTCCACTATCGATGAGAGCTAATGTGCTCCACTATCGATGAGAGCTAATGTGCTCCACTATCGATGAGAGCTAATGTGCTCCACTATCGATGAGAGCTAATGTGCTCCACTATCGATGAGAGCTAGTGTGCTCCACTATCGATGAGAGCTAATGTGCTCCACTATCGATGAGAGCTAATGTGCTCCACTATCGATGAGAGCTAATGTGCTCCACTATCGATGAGAGCTAATGTGCTCCACTATCGATGAGAGCTAGTGTGCTCCACTATCGATGAGAGCTAATGTGCTCCACTATCGATGAGAGCTAGTGTGCTCCACTATCGATGAGAGCTAATGTGCTCCACTATCGATGAGAGCTAGTGTGCTCCACTATCGATGAGAGCTAGTACACTAGCTCTCATCGACACTATCTCGCTTTGCTCGATAGTGTTGCTCGATAGTGTTGCTCGATAGTGTTGCTCGATAGTGTTGCTCGATGGTGTCGCTCGATAGTCCCTTGCTTTCTTTTTTGCAAAATTATTAGATAAACTTTATTCATTAAAGTTTAGAGTATCAAGTATCACAGTACAATCAAAACGTCAACTTCCTCTTTACTAATAATATACATAAAACTTACAACTAGTATCTTATTACTGACTCTCGCCACTATCTTAAAATCTCTTTACTTGTCTCTACTTGTCTCTACAAAGTGTTGCTCCACTATCGAGGAGTGTGAGATAGTCTCTACAAAGTGTTGCTCCACTATCGAGGAGTGTGAGATAGTCTCTACAAAGTGTTGCTCCACTATCGAGGAGTGTGAGATAGTCTCTACAAAGTGTTGCTCCACTATCGAGGAGTGTGAGATAGTCTCTACAAAGTGTTGCTGCTCGATAGTAAGACTCTTGTATAGAATATTGACCTCTTGTTAGTGTTGTAAGAAGCTATTCAGTGTTGCTAAAAAGTGTTGTAACAGGATAATCAGCGAAATAGTATTGTATTAAGTTAGTCAGCGAGACAGTGTTGTAACAAGCTAATCAGTACTTTTCCACTAGCTTGCATTGCTCACTAGTGTCGGTGTAGTCAGTACTTTTCCACTACCTCGCTTCGCTCACTAGTGTCGGTGTAGTCAGTGCTGCTTCACTAGCTCGCTTCGCTCACTAGTGTCGGTGTAGTCAGTACTTTTCCACTAGCTCGCTTCGCTCACTAGTGTCGGTGTAGTCAGTGCTGCTTCACTATCTCGTTCGCTCACTAGTGTCGGTGTAGTCAGTACTTTTCCACTAGCTCGCTTCGCTCCCCTGTGTTGGTGTAGTCAGTGCTGCTTCACTATCTCGCTTCGCTCCCTTGTGTCGCTCGAGATTTACTTGTTTTCAAGTTGGTAGAGTCTCCTCCTTTCAGCTTCTTTTGCTTGTTGATAAATGACGTCCCTTTTCATATCGATTCTGCCCAAAAAATCTTGTTTATCCAAGTATCCGCCCTTATTATGTCTCTTGAGGTCATCACCAATTCTCCGCTGATCAACAAAGCTTGCCCAATCTAATCGAGATTTCTCCAAGGTTGATAACTTCATTTTCTTATTACTGCTCATCTGCAAAAACTTGTCTATAAGTGAAGGTCGTTTTAGTTTAATGCAAAGCTCTTTTTTCTCTTTAGTAAATGGATCTTCTCTTATAACCTTGACTTGAGATCGCCTATATGGTACATCATCACTACTTGACGTTATCGAGCTGGTGGAATTGAGGTATGCTTTTGCTTCTTCAGAGTCCCTATCTACTAGTTTCGACTCGGTTATCAATTTCCCAGCAAACGTGTAGTTCACCTGTATTTTGATCTTCGAAGCCAGCTCCTGCCCTTGCTCATGCTCAAGATCTTGCTCGATTTTACTCGATTTGGGTTCTGCTAAAATCGGTTCCATTTCAGGTATCTTTTTACACTGTTTCAAATCGTTGAATACCGCTTCCATATCCAATGCACAAGTATCCTTTACCAACCCTCGTGAATCAGTTTCAAACTTTCCTATGAATTTAGCCTTCTTCAACTCCTTATCGCGATACCGCTGTGATCTCGTTCTCACTTGTGAAACGTTTGACTCGATTTTGGAAAAATCGGGAATATCCTCTCTTCCTGAATCATTCCTGGAATCATATTCATCGCTGCTCTCTCCGGGCTCCTCTCCATCCCCAACTTGACCCGTCTCCTCTTTTTTAGTTGGATCATAATCCTCATCTTCTTCATCTTCTTCTTCATCATCTCCACCTTTACCCTCATCCTCTTCCTCATTCCTTACTCCACCTTTAAGCTCATCCTCATTCCTTACTCCACCTTTAAGCTCATCCTCATTTTTACCCCCCTTTGTACTACTGTCTAATCTCTTTGACACCGTTCCCGTACCCTGAACCATTTTCTTCTTCACCCCCACTTGCTCTATAAACGATGCCTGTTAAAAATATTACTCCACCTTGTTTCAACGGTTTTCGCTACCAATTGTTTTTTTAAAAAATAATCCGGCGGCTAACTGCCGATTATTTTTCACCATTCTTTGTTACATGTCATTTAGGTGAACAAGTAAGTTATAGTTAGCCCCAGGTGAACAACTAGTCTGTCTGTCTCTAGTCCTTTTCTATCTCTTTTTATCTTGCTGTTCCCCTTTTTTTCCCCTCCTTTTTCTATATAGATATGTCAGAGTTGTTTTATGCTGACGCCGAAAGTCCCATTGTCTTGTTATCTGCAAAGAAACATTTTGACCTATTGTCGACTCCAGAGTTGAGGAAATATGCTCATTACTTATCCCGTGCATCTTTCAATGGCTCCAAGGCAGTGTTGAGGTCGGTATCGCCTGAAAGTGAGTACATTTTTGAGTTAATCTTGGCTATTCACGAGGCTTTGGGTCAACCAAGCTCGAATGAAGAGTATTTTGCAAAATTGAGTTTTTTGACAGATAAAGAGACTTTGCAATACTTGGAGTATGCTTCTCAGTTTTTGGGAAATTTGGGTAATTACAAATCTTTTGGTGACAGGAAATTTATACCTAGACTTTCCCAGGATAAATTCGAAACTTTGGTGAAACAATTGGATAACGAGGCAATCTATGATTTATTCCAAAAGTTGAAATTTGCAATCTACAGTACTGATAAGGCGTTACTTGGGTATAAGGAAAAAGGTCTCGAAACAAACTATTACCCTTGTGACGAAATCACCAAAGCCGATATTGACTCAGTTGATAAGGTTTTAACTTGTCTCGGTGTCATGCCTGAAAACACTAGAATCGTTAAAAATAAACACGGTTTTACAGTTTTAGTAGCTTCAGCTAGCAACAATGATGTTTATAATCTTGGCGACTTGAAAACTGAAGCTGGAGTACCAATTAGATTTCAATTTGGAGACCATAGCCAAGAGTTTAAGAAGATTGTCGACGATTTGCAAAATGCATCAAAGTACGTGGCAAACGAAACACAATCAAAACTTGTCGAGTACTACATTGAAGCTTTTGAAACCGGTAACATGAAGGCTCACAAAAAGTCTCAGATTGAATGGGTCAAAGATTTAAAACCTGAAGTGGAATCAAATATCGGGTTCATTGAAACATACAGAGACCCTGCAGGTGTTAGAGGTGAGTGGGAAGGTTTGGTTGCCATGGTCAACCATGAGCGTACGGCAAAGTTCTCTAAGCTTGTGGAAAACGCGGGAGAGTTTATTCCTCAGCTACCCTGGGATTCCCTTTACGAAAAAGATCAGTTTACTCCTCCTGATTTTACATCTTTAGAAGTCTTGACGTTTGCAGGTTCCGGTATTCCAGCAGGAATCAACATTCCCAATTATGATGATGTTAGACTAAATTACGGGTTCAAGAATGTTAGTCTCGGAAACGTTTTATCGGCAAACCCAAAGAATCCGAAAAAGGAAGAAATCATTACCTTCATTGATGAACAGGACCTCTTTAAGAGATGGAGGGACGATGCATTTGAGGTTCAAGTTGGTTTGCACGAGTTGTTAGGCCACGGAACTGGTAAATTGTTACAAGAAGTTGAACCAGGAAAGTTCAACTTTGACAAGCTGGATAAACGTGTTAAGAGTTGGTATGCTCCAAATCAAACATGGGGTGGATTATTTGGAGCAATAGCAGGTGCATATGAAGAGTGTCGTGCCGAATTAGTTGCATTATACTTGATTTTGAAAAACCCCAAAGATATTTTGCCAATTTTTGAGATTACCACACCCGACAGTCAAAGAGAAGTTGCGTTTATTGCTAGTTTATTAATGATACGGGCTGGGCTACTTGGTTTGGAATTTTGGGATCCCGAAGCAAAGAAATGGGGTCAGCCTCATATGCAAGCTCGGTTTGCTATAATGAAACAATTGCACCAAGCAGGTGTTTTCCAATTTACTCATTCCCAACCTGACTTTTCTGATTTGAAAATAGATATTTTTGAGGAGAAGATTTTTGATGGTATTGCTGTTGATGCATTGGGAGATTTCTTGGGGCATTTGCACGTTTTCAAATGTACAGGCAATAGAGATGAGGGTGTTGAATACTTTTTGAAAAAGAGCAATGTTGGTGACGAGTATGCCAAGTTTAGAGATATCGTATTGAAGGAAAAGAGACCAAGAAAGCAATTGATACAGGGTAATACTATTTTGAAACAAGATGGTACAGTAGACTTGGTTGAATATGACGAGAGTGAAACTGGAATGATTCAAAGTTATTATGATAGAAATATTAGATAAAACCTCCTCCTCCTCCACCACCACTACCAAATACCCTTTATCGTATAGCCGTACTTGAAAGTAAAAGAAAGTTAACAAACTTTGTCCTTGATTCTTCCTTCTTCTCTTTTTTTTTTTTCCTCTTTAAGACTCATGAAAAATTTCAAGATTTCATAACTGAATCTTTCAATTGAGTTATTGAAGTTGAGTAAATGGTAGTTTGAAAGGTTACTTACTCCTAGAACGGTACGTTATTTAAAGGACCAGAAGGCAAAGGAGATAAAGGAACAAAAGAGATGCTATATACGTGCGCCCTTGGCAGACTTGTACCGGGACAATGTGGATTTCGAGTATATTTCCAAAACTTGCATTATGGACAGCGGCATATTGAGATGATGATGCAGAGTAGTCGACTGTATATGCAGATTGTGCCGAAAGGGAATGTTGAGATGATGATGCAGAGTAGTCGACTGTATATGCAGATTGTGCCGAAAGGGAATGTTGAGATGGTTTCTAAATCCTATAGATGCAACCGGTACCTTAACCTACTGTTTCATTATCGACATTTCTCGACTCAAAACGAGACAGCAACCCAGCTAAAGTCAAATAGTTCTTCAGTTCGTTCTCATTTGGAATCTGCTAGGTTAAAGCAACGGGATATCAAGAAAGAAGAGACAAAGAAATTGTCTAATTCCAATAAACAAGCGTTTCGACAAAATATAAAGGTTATAGCACGAATATTGAAGTTGGGCAAGCCCGATTGGAAGCTTTTCTTATTAGCCATTGGTTTCATTTTATGCGCTGTTTTATACCCTACTACTGCCGTTAGATTGGTGGGAGCAGCTCTTGATGCCTTTAACTCAGATACAAAGGATTCCGATGGCGATTTGATTGTATGGGGCCACAAATGCTCCACTGTTATTGCACTCATGGTTCCCTTTATGTGTTTGAGCGCAGTTTGTTTTTGGGCAAGAATATGGGTTTTGAAAGTTTTGGGAGAGCGTTTGGTTGCTAGGCTTAGGACCAAGGTCATGAAGAACTTGCTACGTCACGATGCAAAGTTTTACGATAATGATAAGAACAAGGTTGGTGATTTGATTAGCAGATTGTCGAGTGATGCATACGTAATGAGTAAATCAATCACAAGCAACTTGCCTGATGGATTGAAAAATTTACTTTTTGGTATTATTAGTTCCTATATGATGTATTCCATTAATCCGTTATTGTTTGGCGTGATGTTACTTATTTCGCCTCCAATAACTATTGGATCTGTATGGTATGGAGAAAAGATTAGGAAACTATCTACAAAGTTACAAAATGCCACTGCTGGATTGACAAAAGTCAGTGAAGAAACATTGAACTCTGTGATGTTGGTGAAAGCTTTTACTAGTGAGCAGAAGGAGTTGGCAAGGTATAGTGCAAGGTTGAGGCAAGTGGTAAATGTGGCAAAACAAGAAGCATTGGCTCAATCAAATTATTCCGTTAGCATATATACACTATATCATGCAGGTTACTTATCTTGTGTTGCAATTGGTATCTGGCTAATGATGCGCGGACAAATGACTGCAGGGGATGTTGTTGCTTTTACCATGTACCTGGAGTTTTTCAACCTGGCCTTGTACAGTTTGACCACCACTTATCTTGAATTGATGAAGGGAGCTGGAGCTGGTGTCAAACTTTTCAAGTTGATTGATTACAAAAGTGATGTTGCGCCAATCAAGGGTGAAAAAGTGAAATCATTGCCTAATCAAGTCGAGTTTCGACATGTGTCATTTAGCTATCCAACGCGACCCAATGACAAGGTTTTTGACGATTGCAGTTTTAAAATCAAGAGCTCAAGCAGTACATGTATTGTTGCACCCTCCGGTGCTGGGAAATCCACTGTTGCGGCGTTACTACTACGCTCTTACAATATACAACTGGGCGAAATACTCATTGGAGGAAGGAATATTAAGGATTTTCAAGTAAGGGAATTGAGGCGTCATATTATTGGTATAGTTCAACAAGAGCCAGTCCTTTTAAGTGGCTCAATTTTGGAAAATATTGTTTATGGCTTAACATTGAAACAAGTGAGTAAACTTACCATGGATGATGTGATTGCGGTTTGTAAACAAGCAAACTGCCATGATTTTATCATGAGCTTTCCTGATGAGTATGATACGATAATAGGAAGTAGAGGTGCGTCCTTATCTGGAGGTCAAAAGCAAAGAATAGCCATTGCTCGTGCATTGATCAAGCATCCGCAAGTATTAATCCTTGACGAAGCTACATCTGCATTGGATTCCAAATCTGAATCCCTCATTAATGAGACTTTGAGAAATTTAACCAGTCAAGGTAAAATGACCATCATATCGATTGCGCATAGGTTATCTACTATTTCTAAATCTGAGTATGTTGTTGTACTTGGAAAGCACGGCAATGTTATTGAGAATGGCAGGTTTGTTGAGCTTTTCAGCAATCCCTATAGCGAACTATCCAAGCTCTTGGACGAATCAGAAAACAAACAACAAGAAGAAATGATCAATGAACAAGAAGTAGAAGAAATAGAGCATGCAAATTACGAAGCAAGCGAAATCGAGAAAAGGCAGAAGGAATTTGGACAACTCAAACATTTGAGAGATTTGATTGACTCATTGCCAAGTGACTTGAAAGACCAACTAATTGAAGAAATCACGATTGACTCGGAAAAGAGAATGCAACGTTTGGATTCAACTTTGGACAAGGACTTGAAAAGATAAATGCATTCGACACTATCGACCGACACTATCGAGCAGAGCGAGATAGTGGAGCACATTAGCTGTCACCGACACTATGTCACTGCTTGATAGTAGAGCACAGTAGCTGTCACTGACACTATCAACACTATCGAGCACTGTTTGATAGTAGAGCATATTCACTGTCACAAACAATATCGACACTATATGCATATCTCAAATAGATGAAAGCAGATAGAATATGCATATCTCAAATAGATGAAAGCAGATAGAATATGCATATCTCAAATAGATGAAAGCAGATAGAATATGCATATCTCAAATAGATGAAAGCAGATAGAATATGCATATCTCAAATAGATGAAAGCAGATAGAATATGCATATCTCAAATAGATGAAAGAAGATAGAAATGTACATATAAATTTTTTGGATTCCTATACAAAACCCTATTTAGGCGCCTCTATAAGTCAATTGGTTTCAATTCTTTTGGTTCACTTTGTTTTCCATCAACAATTTTAATAACTTTAACATCGGTAACACCTCTACTTTCAGCTGCAGCTCTAAACTCTGGTTTTAATGCATTTCTCAAAGTTTGCGCGGAAATGGCCATAGACTTGAGTAACGAAACTCCGGCTTGTTTAGCTGACATGGTGAACTGTGTGAACGTAATAAGACTTAGTTGTTAGAAAGAAACTCCACAGAAGTTTTCAACTGGCCTTTTTTCACTTTAGGCGAAATTTTTCATTGGTTATAAAATTTACCAAAAGTGCACGCACTAGAATAGCAGCTCTGTAGCACTGTCAGAAGAACCCTCTGTTCTAGCAGCACTGTCAGAAGAACCCTCTGTTCTAGCAGCACTGTCAGTGCCGCAGGCAATGGCAGGGCCAGCAAAAGAACCCTCTGTTCTAGCAGCACTACTGTCAGAAGAACCCTCTGTTCCAGCAGCACTGTCAGAAGAACCCTCTGTTCTAGTAGCATTGTCAGTGCCGCAGGCAATGGCAGGGCCAGCAGAAGAACCCTCTCTTCTAGCAGCACTACTGTCAGAAGAACCCTCTGTTCCAGCAGCACTGTCAGAAGAACCCTCTGTTCTAGTAGCATTGTCAGTGCCGCAGGCAATGGCAGGGCCAGCAGAAGAACCCTCTCTTCTAGCAGCACTACTGTCAGAAGAACCCTCTGTTCCAGCAGCACTGTCAGAAGAACCCTCTGTTCTAGCAGCACTGTCAGAAGAACCCTCTGTTCTAGCAGCACTGTCAGTGCCGCAGGCAATGGCAGGGCCAGCAAAAGAACCCTCTGTTCTAGCAGCACTACTGTCAGAAGAACCCTCTGTTCCAGCAGCACTGTCAGAAGAACCCTCTGTTCTAGCAGCACTGTCAGAAGAACCCTCTGTTCTAGCAGCACTGTCAGAAGAACCCTCTGTTCTAGCAGCACTGTCAGTGCCGCAGGCAATGGCAGGGCCAGCAAAAGAACCCTCTGTTCTAGTAGCACTAGCAGCACTGTCAGAAGAACCCTCTGTTTTAGTACCACTAGTAGCACTGTCAGAAGAACTCTCTGTTTTAGTACCACTAGTAGCACTGTCAGTGCCGCAGGCAATGGCAGGGCCAGCAGAAGAACCCTCTGTTCTAGCAGCACTGTCAGAAGAAACCTTTCTTCTAGTACCACTACTAGAACTGTCAGAAGAACCTTCTATTCTAGTACCACTGTTATCAGATTTCAGTCATATACGATAAATTCTAGTTAGACAATCAGAGCTCAGCTATATACTATAGATTCTAGTTAGGGATTCTTCTTCTTACTGGCGATCCAGTTGATGAAATCAAAGAATAATGAAGGTTGGAGTCGCGTATTTGGGTCTAAAGTCCAGTACTTTAGAGACTTGCCATATATGTCGACGACTTTTTCCAAGTTTTCTGGATCCAAATTCACCAAGTTTTTAGCAAGGATAATACAACTTTGATTATAAGCTGATGCGACTGATTGGTTAGAAAACTTTGTTGTTCTTGCTTGGTTTTGTAGTTTTGCCATTAGGTCTAGCAAGGATCTCGATGTAGCTGGTATTTCTACATCTTCTTTGTTTAATTTTGTCTTGCTAATCCTCGTTTTTAAATACTTGTGTGCCTTAATTCCAAGATTTTTATCCATTGTGAGGTTGATTAACGTGATAATAGGCTCAATAGTCTTCAAATTGTATGCTGAGCTTGAATGCTTCTTGGTGAAAACTTCTAAAAGATCAAGAACCCGATTTTTGAAAAAAACCATATTCTCTTTGGCTTCTAGAACTTCCATTTTACGTTTGTTTCCTGAATTAACATTGTTAAGGATATCTTGCCTTTCTTTGAATATCTTGGACAATTGATCATCCATAGCCATCATTTGCTCATCATCCATTGAATCACTCTCATACCCATCATTTGACGAATTTAGATCGGAAAGTTCATCAAATTTGACTTCACCAGTTTCGGCTGTGGGTATACCTAATGCTTTTGCTAATTTAAGATTGGTTTCTTTGTCAAGATCTGTCATTGTGTTGTTTGCCATAGTTTCCTCATCGTCATTATCATCATCATCATCATCGTCGTCGTCGTCGTCGTCATCGTCGTCGTCATCGTCATCACCATCGTCATCACCCTTATCATTCTCATCGTTCTCATCGTCGTTGCTATTTTCCTCTTCATCTCCTACTATCACCATGCCTTCCTCCTCCCCCTCAAACAAATGCTTCTGCCCTTCTTTATTTTCTTTTGCAACTAGTACATCAAACAATAATTGAAAACAATCATCATTAATCCTTAGTACACCATCACTTCCGCATTCACACAAATAGTGTTCCCAAACTATCGTTGATAACTTTTTTAACAAATTGCTTTTTCTAGAAATAAAACTCAATATAATTTCCGTCATGACAACAGATGGATCAACATCAACATCCTCTTGGGAACCAGGCTCAACAAACTGTTTCTCAAAAACTAACTTCAACTCATTTATAATCTGTGCAATCTCTTCATCTTCCAAATACAACTGGATAAAACACATTGAAAATAAAAGTTGAAAAATATTCAACGTCTCCGAAATTGATGTACTTTCCTTTTGAAAATCGCGTATAGTTTGAATGATTGTAATCGTTTCTTTCTTAATATGTTTCAACTCGTCATCCAACTCTACTAGACATTTGTTTTGCAGGCACTTTTCCAACTCGATAATTTGTTCATAGCAGAAAAAGGACCATGGTTCTCCATCGTGTTGTCTTGATATAACCTCTGCTAGAATCGTGTTCAACTTTTCTTGAGAAAATTTCCTTACATTCAATGATACGGGAGATTGGAAAAAGCTAATCTCAACTAGTAATTTGAAGATGCTCTCCAAATTGGACAAGGTTCTATTGTGCTTGATCAAATATGCCATCTTCTCAAGACACCATTTAAGCACATTATCATTCGAGTTTTTACCATCATCTTCTTCATTTATAGTCTGACTTTTTAATGCATCGTTAAACTTATCAACAAGTACATTTACAAATTGATGATTCCCTATGGCCAAAATCCTATCCACAGTATGCGATTTACTAACCAAATCAAAATTCCAACAGCCTCCTTGTGATTCATCTAATAAGCATTTTAGCACAGTAGCCGAGTCTACTTCTTTTTCAACACAAGCGCAAACAATATAATCCAATGTCTTCTTCGCTATATCGTGCAAATATCTTGATTTATGAGAAGCCTGGTTAATTAAACACCTCATGAAATTTCGAGTAAACAAATGCTCAACATTGTCAACCAACACTAGAAACTTCATAAACACTTCAAACCCCCAGTATTTACGCTCATGTGATGATTTTTCAGCAAACAAAGATTCATCAACAACAACTTTATAGAATTCTTTCAAATTAATGGATGATGATGAAAAAGAAGAAGATTCGGGGGTTTTGGTTTTGTTGTTAGTCTTTGTTTTAGCTATTTTCTTTCTCTTCCTCAAGTTTGACGCCAGTTGTTCTACCTCATAATCCTCATCTTCCTCATCTTCCTCATCTTCTTCGTCATGATCGCCGTCTTTTTCAGTGAAATTCTCAACTAGTGAGTCCCAAACAAATGGTAATCTTGAACTCCAGCTGCTTTTTTGCTTAGAATCATCTTCGTTATCAGATCCATCAACAACTTCTACATCCTTCAAAACCTTGGCTAGTAGAGGTAAGTTTCCTTTTAGCATTGGATCTCCATGCTTCCAGTTTGTTTTTTGATTTTTGATACTAGCAGCCAACTCAGCTCTCTTTGATCTATTGATGCTTAGGTATATAGCAAGCCCTTCAGTAGATAGATTCAACCCCAGGTCATTGATGCCCTGCAAAATCATTAGACATAATACATCTTTATACTCAGTATTTACATTCTTTATCACTTGAATTAAACTTGCCGTGGCAACTTCCCTTATCCAAGATTTCGTATCGGCTAATTTCAACAAGTCCAAAACAAACCTTCTAAGCTCGTTTTCGCAACTCTTGAAAATAATTTTGCTATTGAGTAATACTTGCAAGCCAAACAAATGTCCAAACAATATGGCTCTTTCTTCTTTACCCTTTAAATTACTGCTCTTGATAGTAGTGGCATCATCAAGTTTATTCAAATACTCATCAACAGATAGCCTACCCAGAATAATTAGCTGGTTAACAACTTCAGTGAGTGCCATGCTAAACCCGATTTTAGCAGATTGTTTAGTTGTAATCAATCCCTTGGTCAATCTCAGCAATGCATAATCCCATTCTTCTTCGCTATCCTCAGCATTAAGTTCCTTAATTAAAGACGTAGCCGCATTGATTCTCTCTCCAACTACTTCAGAGCTTAATTTCGTAAAATAGTCTCTCAAAACCATACCAACTCTCTCTTTCTATCCGTCTCTATATAAAGGAAACAACCCCCTGAAAATCCCTGGAACTATTACCGGAGTTGGTAAATTTTTCATTTTTTTTTTTTTTTTTTTTTTTTTTGCGATGAGCATCGCATCGCATCCTTTCGTGCGGGGCGAGATGAGATGAGATGAGATGAGATGCTTGCGGTAGAGAGCAGGGAGACAGGCGGGCGTTGGCTTTTCATTTACCACAAAGGATTATATTGAGGAATACATTGCGGTTTTAGTAACTGCCAATAGGTTTTGAGGTTTGTTATTCTCTTTTTAATGAGACAGTTTGCGTTGCGATCGCATTCAGCGCCAATCACTTATATTCTACCGGTATTATCATCATCATTAACGCGGTTTGTTTATACAGCGGATCAACAGGGCTACGTGATAAAATGGAATTTGCAAGTAAAGAGACCCGATCTCCAATGGCAAGCCCACACCGACTCGATACTCACAATTCTTGAATGGGACCAGTATATTATCACTCATTCACGAGATTCAACTATACGAATCTGGCTAGATGATGAAAAATGCTACGAGGTACCTGTTAATGCGCTCAATTTCTCCAATATTGTTATGTTCAACAACCGTTATTTGATTACACCGGCGACTTTGGATTCAAACAACATGGATGTTTATGAACTCACAAAAGATCCAATTGCCATTACTCGAGTCCTTGCGAATTTTGGCGCCTACAAATTGGTCAATACCACTGGGCTCCACTATCGAGCGAAGCGAGATAGTGAAGCAACCCTGACTACAGACGATGATGCAGATGTAAACGTCAAAGGGAGAAAAGACTTTGGTATTATTATGAAGATGTTGCTAATCAACAAGACAGTTTATATTGGCTTCGAATCAGGTGATATTATAGGTTTAATTATGGAGTTTTCCGAGACTTTAGGCGCCAGATTCACACTCGCTTATCACAATACTACTCATTGTCCCAACCCAGTAATATCACTTGCAAACGTTGAAGATACCTTGATTTCAGGCTCAACAAGCAACAAGTTGGTCTACCATCATAAACCAGTTAAAATTGTGCCATATCCTCAACTGGGCATACAAGCAATCATACCCTATAATGATGATCTTATTATTGGCTTCTGGGATGGTTCTATAGAGTACAAGGGACAAATAATTCAAAGAGACCTACCGCACCTCAGAGCCGATGATGATGATAATACAAAGACTGTATTGAAGTTGACTTTTATGTCGTTATTACCAGTCACTACATCAAAGAGTGAAAATCAACTAGCTCGTGGGAAATACGCCATGATGATTAAGAAGAGTATAGAGACTGATTTACTTTTGGCCGGATATGAAGATGGTACTATACTCGCTTTTAGTATCACTTAGAACTAAAGTTCTAAGTGATAGAACTTTAAATCTAGCCCTTAATACAAAAAAAAAAAAAAACAGTATAGTTATAGGTCTCATCATGAGATCTATAACAAATCACCCATCAACAAACTATATATAAATATTCACTCTACAATGCTTTTTCAATGTAGCTTCCAACATTGACGGTTTGGTTGTTAATGTTGGATAATTTTCTTCTTGCCTTGCTTTATTCGGAAAGACAACTAATTACATGTTTGTTCTTGCTTTGTATCAATAGGATACGTTGGTTGAATTTGGCTATTATTTCTTATATGTTGATGCTTTAATAGATACGTCTTTTGCTTTAGAATAAATTGTTTTCTTTGTATTTGATGCTCTAGCGGGGTGTGTTTACTTGTTGTTTGCGAAAACTACCAGGTAATCGCAGTTGATACTGAGATCCTATTTGCTGGCACCACTAATCGCAGTTGATACCGAGATCCTATTTGCTGGCACTAATCGCAGTTGATACTGAGATCCTATTTGCTGGCACCACTAATCGCAGTTGATACACTGAGATCCTATTTGCTGGCACCGCCAATATTGAAAATGATAAACTCTATTCTATAGTACCTAGTATTATATACTATTCTATTCCTATGCCTGAGAAACAACCTTTTTATGAAACTGCCCCGATCTTCTTCTATACCCGCTACCGCCATTACCACTACCGCTATTGCCACCGCTATTGCCACCACCACCACCACCACCGCTATTGCCACTTCTATTACCAATTGAGTTGGGTCTTGGTGGAATATTAACTATATTATGATTAACCGTAGGTTGTTTCTTCTGCCCGCTAGGATTCCTCTGCTGATGCAAACTAGTTGAGTTATTGCCTTGATTCCATAACAGGCTTAATTGAGACGGTGAATTTGAAAAAGAATTTTGTTTGTTGGTGTTGTTGTTGTTGTTGTTGAAGCTATTGTTCTTCTTCCTTAGGTTATGCGGTATAGAAAGCTTTTTCCGATTATGATGCGAAAACTGCTGCTGGTGGTTGTGCGGGCTGTTGATATTACTACTTCCATTGGCAGCTAGTTCGGGAGAAGCAATTAAGATAGTATCTTCATCATCAAATGAAATATTATTCAAAGTATCATGTGAATCTGCAAGGATTGCAGCAATATCGATTTCAATTTTCTCCTTTTCTTTAATCTTTTCTTGCAAGTCTGGGTACTTTTCAAGTAAAGACTCAATCACCTGGTTATTACAGCTCAATATATCCTTACTCTCCAAACCATGAGTTTTCACCAAGTTAGCCAATGTTGTTAACATGGTCAAGATCTTGGTATTTTTAGTAATATAAATATTATCCATTGATTTCTTTTTGTTATTCATTGAATTCAATAAAACGTCAATATCCATATCGTTGCTCTCTGTTTTCTTTTGCAACTCTTCCCATTGCCTATAATTTTCAGCTTTGTAATTATCAAATTCCCTTTGTAATGCATCCAATTCTAATCTATAATGTTGTTTGTATTCCTGGCAGCTAGCCACAAGAGCCTCATAACTGATTTTCAACCTCTCGTGTTCGGCTATTGACTGTAGATTTGTATCGTTCAATGTTTCAAACTTGATCTTCATTTGTTTGGTCAGCAAGTTTAAGTTTTCAATTGAATTCAACATTTCGCTATTTTGATCTTCAAGATCTAGTATCCGACGTTCTTTCCTCTTGAGTAAAGCCAGTAACATATCATTTTCATGCTTTAAATTTGCCAATTGGTCAAGATACGACTCGTTTTTACCGTTGATTATCTGATTCTTTTTACCAAGTTCTTGATTTGTTGTCTTCAACCTAGCAATCTCTAAACTCAATTCATCGATAGATTTTTGTAGGGAGTCGATAACCCGAGAGGACGAGCCCAGACTTTTGCCTTTACTAGGAGACGTTTCTGGAGTACTTGTCATATAGAGGGAGAAAATAAGCAATTTACTACTTGTCAACACTTGTTAATAACGTTTCAAATCTCAGGTGCCAAAAAATCAAAATGGGGAAAAAATAGAAATAAAACTGCTTGTTAGTATGCTTTGAAGCCCTGAAGCCCTGAAGCCCTGAAGCCGTAAATCCTGGGAACCGCCACTAAATAAATGCCTGTAAATGCTACTAGAAAAGTAACTTATACACTGTGACAAGAACTCAAATACGACTATAAAGATGTTAAAAGGAAATCTTTGTATTCGTTGTTATTCCAACTATGGTTTTTTTTTTTCTTTTTTTTTTTTTTCTCGCTCATCTTCGTTAGCCGCTGACCGGTGGGGGGGGGCCGGTTTTATTAGACGAAGAGGAAGATGAGGGACACTATCGACACTATCGAGCGAAGCGAGATAGTGGAGCAACACCGACTAGCTGCCCACTATCGACACTATCGACACTATCGAGCGAAGCGAGATAGTGGAGCAACACCGACTAGCTGCCCACTATCGACACTATCGACACTATCGAGCGAAGCGAGATAGTGGAGCAACACCGACTAGCTGCCCACTATCGACACTATCGACACTATCGAGCGAAGCGAGATAGTGGAGCAACACCGACTAGCTGCCCACTATCGACACTATCGACACTATCGAGCGAAGCGAGATAGTGGAGCAACACCGACTAGCTGCCCACTATCGACACTATAGAGGAGAAACACTCATAGCTGCGCGATACTTTGTAGCTTGTTACGATACTATCGAGAAACACTCGGTCTTGTAGTTCTATAGTCCTATGACCTTCGACTCTATAGAGTGAAGCGAGATAGTAGAGCAGTACTTGATAGCAGTACTATCGAGGGGAGAGAGTCTTATAGTCCTATGGCCTTGTAGTCTTATAGTCATATAGTCCTATGGTTGTAGTCTTATAGTCATATAGTCCTACGGTTGTAGTCTTATAGTCATATAGTCCTACGGTTGTAGTCTTATAGTCATATAGTCCTACGGTTGTAGTCTTATAGTCATATAGTCCTACGGTTGTAGTCTTATAGTCATATAGTCCTACGGTTGTAGTCTTATAGTCATATAGTCCTATGATTGTAGTCATATAGTTCTATGGCCTTATAGTCATACTGTCTTATGATCTCAAGGCCCTACAGGCTCATCTACACATTCTGATTTCTTACTTTTTCACTTCAGTTTTGTCTAGTGTAATTCACTAGACAAACCCATCGTATCAACCATACTTGCGATAAAATCGCTTCGCTCGATAGTAGAGCACACTAGCTGCTACCGCCAAACTCTTTTCTTTTCAGACCCATAGTATCAACTAGAGAATCACAAGACTACATTATAACAAAAATATACTTGTCACTCATAAATTGAATTATAATGGAAATAAACTATTAATTTTCAAAACAAACTTCACTGTCAAACGTTCTCCCTCAATCTTCACTGTTAAACGTTTTCCCTCAATCTTCTCTGTCAAACATTCACCCTCAATCTTCACTGTTGAACGTTTTTCCCTCAAGACTTTCCAATCATCTTACGGTACCCGATCCAAACCAAAATTGCCACCACTACCCACATACCCAAAGTAAATTCAAACCCGCTTCCTTGCAATTGCGGGTCGGATTCGGCAGTTCCTAGTCATTTCGCAGTACCTTGTTTTGGAGGAAACCCTTCAACATCTACAGATCCATTTGCAGGCTCACATGTACACCACTGATCTTTAGGAAACTGCGACATTGCTTGTGGTACATGATTTCCGCATCCCCACCATGTTTTTCCATCTAAAAAAAAATAGGGGACCCTGGTTAGTTACAGAATTTTCTAAAGATGAACAAGGTAAATAAAACACATACGACAAACTTGACAATCGGCAGATTTACACATATTGGCTTTTCTTTTGTAAATGAATACTAGTAATAAATACAGAGAGGTAGAGAGAGGGGAAGAGAGAGGGAAAGAGGAAAGGGGAATAATGCCAACTATTTATACATGGCGGGCCCGATCATGTTGATGACCCAATTGTTCCTTTTTTCGGCTCAATCTCTCGGGTTAAACAATTCTATTTATTGTTTGTTTCTTTTTATTTGTTTTTTTTTTCTTTTCTCCTCCGCCAAGGAACCTCCATCCTCACTGCCTTCTTCCCCCCTTCCATCCTCGCTGCCTCGAGAGTGCCATTGACAGTCAGTGCTGCCTCGAGAGTGTCATTGATAGTCAGTGCTGCCTCGAGAGTGTCATTGATAGTCAGTGCTGCCTCAAGAGTGTCATTGACAGTCAGTGCTGCCTCGAAAGTGTCATTGACAGTCAGTGTCATTGACAGTCAGTTCTGCTCCACTATCTCGCTTTGCTCGATAGTGTCGATAGTGGAGGGGTTACATTCCAAGTGTAAATGCATAGTCTAGACCCATAATACGCTGTATCATGCAGTTGATCCCAGTAGCAAACATCCTTTCTCTCATAAATTCTGTTCTACTTTCTGTTATTATATACAGGTAACATTTGATAAATATTATACGAACAATTACCATAAATCATCATCGGCCGAGAAATTTCCCAATACGGTAATAAAAAAATATATGCTCTGGGCCGCCCCACATTTTATCTTAGGTTTCCATAAAGTCCAGATTTTTGTTCCCTTTATTCTCTTCAAACTTCAATTCTTCTTCAATATTCAAATTCTCCTGGATATTCCATAATTGTGAGTATAACGATCTTTCGTCAGACAACAATTCAACATGTTTCCCTTCTTCTTGCACTTGCCCTCTATTCAACACAATTATTTTATCTGAATCAGCAATGGTACGTAAACGGTGAGCGATTGAAATATTTGTCCTTTGTCCGCGTCTGAATATCCCACGTATTGTTTTGAGCAATGCCTGTTCTGTATGAGTATCGAGAGCAGAAGTGGCTTCATCGAAAAATGTAATTGGCGCATCTTTTAACAACAATCGAGCAATTGCTAACCGTTGTTTTTCACCTCCAGAAATCATCATTCCTCGTTCTCCAACAATTGTGTTTAGTCCATCTGGAAGATCTTTAATCAACTTGTCAAGTTGCACAGAAGATATCACATTCTTGATATCTTCATCACTCGAATTCAAATTACCATACCGAATATTTTCCAATATCGTATCATTGAAAAGTGGCGTTTCTTGAGGAACAACACCGATTTTTTTTCTCAAAGACTCAAGTGAAACTTCCCTTATATCCTTGCCATCAATAAGTATCCTTCCCAGATCAACATCATAAAACCTAAAGACTAACCGGAGGATAGTTGATTTTCCACTTCCGCTGGGTCCCACAATGGCAACTTTTTGCCCCGCAGGGATAGTAAAACTAGCATTTTGCAAAATTGGCCTGTCACGATGGTACCCAAAAGTAACGTTTTCAAACTGAATTTGTCCCGGCATCTTTTTATTCAAGACTAATTCCGGTGCTCCTCCTTCCTTATCCCTAATTTTTATTGGCACATTCTGTAACTGGAATAAATTCTCCATATCTAATAAGCTCTGCTTCATATCTCGATACACACTACCTAGAAAATTCAACGGAACACTCAATTGGAAGACCAATTGGTTAATCAAAACCAAGTCTCCCACAGTTAATCCGCCGCTAGCTACTCCTTGACATCCCATATACATCATCGCAGTTAACGCCAGTGTAAAGATAAAATTTTGCCCAGCATTCAAATACGCAAGGCTTGTGGCTACCTTGACACTGGCCTTTTCGTATTTTGTTAATGAATCATTGTATTTCTTCAGCTGATATGCTTCATTATTGAAAATCTTGACACTTTCATAGTTGATCAACGAATCCAACGCCACAGAGGCCGCTTGGTTATCCGCGTTGTTTGCTTGTCGTCTAAACCTTGTTCTCCATGCTGTGGTTTGTATTGTGAAAGTCAGATATGCAATCATAGTAGCCAAAGTCACCGCAGCAAAACTATACCCATAGTTCCAGCTCAAGATCCCGCACACTATACTAATTTCAAAGGTAATCGGTATAATATGGAAAACCATTGCATTCAAAACAGAACTTATTCCTTTTGTTCCTCTATCGATTGCTCTTGTTAACCCCCCGGTTTGTTGCAGTAAGTGAAACTGCAAATCCATATTCAATAACCGGGAAAACGTATTTGTTGCAACTCTCTTTATGGCACTCTGGGCAACACTGGCAAAAATGGCATTTCTCAATTCTCCAAATAGCACAGCTCCAAATCTCGCTCCACCATAAGCAAGAATTAATGAACCAATCACAGATGTGACAATGCCTACATCCTGGCTCCAGTCAATATTCATTTGGTCTATAATCTGCTTAAAGAAAAACGGAACTTGAACATTAAGTAGTTTCGAGCCAATAAGTAGCGATACGGCAATTACAACTCTTATTTTAAATCTTAAATTATTCTTGGGCCATATGGTTCTTAAAAGAGACCGCAACATTGACAATTCAGAAGTGGAAACATTACGTCCAAGTAAAGAATACTGTGTGCTAGATGCTACTGACGACTGGCGCTTGCTCAGTTGAAAGGGCGGCTCAACAGCCTCAGCAGCCGCCCCTGCCACCTCCTTCTTGTTCTCTTTTTCCCTTATAACAGCATATCTTCTAACCAAGGAGGAGGTAAATGATCGAATAATATTACTCTGAGGTACAGTAAACCGGTGGCAATAGAGATTTACTTTAAAGGCCCGTGTATTTTGGAAAAGGGGCACTAGACCCTTTACTTGTCTATTTCGTAGTAGCATGAACAAAAGTCTTGCTCTCTGTTCTTCCACCTCCTTATACAAGTGAAAAAAAAGAAAAGAAAAAAATCTGTTGATAATTTCAATCCTTCAAAATGATAATGATGTACCGAAAAAAGGAACATAAATTGAGGGAGCCACTGTAGTGGTTACGACATGAGAGAAAGAGAGAGAGAGAAACTGTGTGTGTGTGGCTTGCACCGATCTCGCACATATCGCACAAATTTTTCAACCCCATCAAAATGTCAAACGAAAAAACCCTGGAGGGGGTGACGTAGCAGAGGAACAAAGTTTGACACTATCGAGCAGTGACACTATCGAGCAATTACACTATCGAGCAAAGCGAGATAGTGTTGTAACAAGCTACTGAGTGTAGCAGAGGAACAAAGTTTGACACTATCGAGCAATTACACTATCGAGCAAAGCGAGATAGTGTTGTAACAAGCTACCGAGTGTCGCTTTGCTCGATAGAGTTGTAACAAGCTACTGAGTGTAGCAGAGGAACAAAGTTTGACACTATCGAGCAGTGACACTATCGAGCAATTACACTATCGAGCAAAGCGAGATAGTGTTGTAACAAGCTACCGAGTGTTGCAGAGGAACAAAGTTTGACACTATCTCGCTTTGCTCGATAGTGTAATTGCTCGATAGTGTCGCTTTGCTCGATAGAGTTGTAACAAGCTACTGAGTATTGCAGAGGGACAAAACAAAGTTATACTGTAGTCCCCTATTCAATGAATATATATCCATTCAATATAAACACTTTCCCATCAAATCACTTATTCTCACTTCTCAACTCGTTCAAACTCTCTTCGAGTGCCTTTAAGAATTTGTCAATGTGACCAGCATAAACCGAGTAACCCATATGTCCAACTCTGAAATACTTACCAAGTAATTGTTTATGAATACCACCTGCCACAACAAACCCCTTTTCACTCAACCGCTTTAATAACGCAGGCCCATCAATATCCTCAGGGAAATAAACTGCAGTTAATCCATGTGCTGCAACAGACTCATTCACTGGAACAATGGTTAACCCTAATTCTTTACATTTACTTTTAAATTTATCAGACTCCTTTGCATTTTTGGCAAATCTCTCATCTAAACTTGCCGAGAAGATTTCATCGAGTGAGGTGTTTAACGCAGTAATTGTCTGTACGGCAGGTGTAGCAAAATAAGCAGGTTTGCCCAGTTCATAAGCTTTCATAATAGGGTCCCATCTCTTTAACGATGCGAAATAAGTGGTTTCCTTCTTATCCAAAGCCTTGGACAATGCTCTTTTGCTGATGTAGAAAATAGCCAATCCAGCCGGTACACCAATTGCCTTTTGCGACGCAGTCAAGGCAAAATCAATCCCCCAGTTGTCAAATTGCAAATCTTCAACACCAATAGAACAAACACCATCAACAATGATCAACGTTTCTGGCGACTCTTGCTTAACCAATTTGCTGATAGCTTCAACATCGCTTACAACTGAAGTAGAAGTATCAACATGGGTAATGGTGATAGCTGTATATTTTTCCTTTTGCAATTGTTTCTTAATCTCCTCCAAAGGAACAACGTCACCAACTTTAGCAGTAAGAACATCAACATTTGCGCCATAAATCCTCAAGGCATCGGCAAAAGAATCACTAAAGAATCCGGTGGATAAAACCAAAACTTTATCACCATGTTGGATCAAATTAGTAGCAGCAACATCCCAACCCAAAGTTCCCGATCCACTCAAAACGAAACCTTGAGAGTTTGCGTCACTCGATTTGAATAATTTCCTCAATCTCGTCAATACCGATTGGAAGGTAGTAACAAATTCAGGCGAAGTATGAGCTTGTGATGGCGTGGCCATTGATGCCAAAACATCATCACTAAACTCAATTGGACCAGGAATCAAGGTTAATTTGTGTTCTGGTTGAGTATATTTGAAAGGTGGCGACATTCCAAAAATTCTAGTTGATTGAGTTATAGAGCGTATAAAATGAGATCTGGTACGGATCAAACCTCTTAGCATAAGCAAGTAAATATCAAAGAGAGAGAGAAAGAGAAGCAACTAAAAGAAAGTAGAGTTGGAATTGAAAATTATACAATGGTGAATATTTATTTAGTAGTGGACATTTCTTTCTTTTTCCTTTTCTGGGGAAAACGCTCTTAATCGGAAAAAGAGTTTCGGACGAATCCGCTAAGTAAAAATGTGGGAAAACATTGAAGTTCAAGCAGCGCTAAGAATAGGCAGCATTTGAGATTTGGCAGAACCTAAGAGTAAACTATGGAATTTGACTCTGGGTGAGGATAGAAAAAAGGGGAGGTGGGAGCAAGTGTAATTGACTTTGTTCGAAAGGAGTCAAAAGTGAAATTGTATTCTAAAGGTTACAGCTTTTCAAAAGCTCCTTTACTAAAAAGGGCTTTACTAAAAAAAAGAAAAAAGTCTTATCAACAAATTGGCCAATTAAAAATGTTTAAAGCTCAAAAACACGGGCGACACTATCGAGCAGAGCGAGATAGTGTTGTAACAAGCTAGTCAGTGTTACTCGATAGGGGAGCATACTAACTGCCACCGACACAACACTATCGAGCAGAGCGAGATAGTGTTGTAACAAGCTAGTCAGTGTTACTCGATAGGGGAGCATACTAACTGCCACCGACACAACACTATCGAGCAGAGCGAGATAGTGTTGTAACAAGCTAGTCAGTGTTACTCGATAGGGGAGCATACTAACTGCCACCGACACAACACTATCGAGCAGAGCGAGATAGTGTTGTAACAAGCTAGTCAGTGTTACTCGATAGGGGAGCATACTAACTGCCACCGACACTATCGAGCTACACTATCGAGCGACACTATCGAGCAGAGCGAGATAGTGTCGTAACAAGCTAGTCGGTGTTGCTCGAACGACACTGACTAGCTACCACCTATCTCGCTCTGCCAGATAGTGGAGTAGCACTAGCTGCTACCATTCACTATAAATCTCAAGCCGCGGTAAAAGAAATCGGGATTCACAATAGAAAATTTGTTACTTTATCTGTACCGCTTATTTTCCAGAAACATCCTCTGCCACTATCGAGCAACACTTAGTAGCTTGTTACAACACTGACTAGCTTGTTACAACACTGACTAGCTTGTTACAACACTGACTAGCTTGTTACAACACTGACTAGCTTGTTACAACACTGACTAGCTTGTTACAACACTGACTAGCTTGTCACAACACTGACTAGCTTGTCACAACACTGACTAGCTGCCCACTATCGATTAACACTGACCAGCTTGTTACAACACTATCTCGCTCTGCACGATAGTGTCGCTTGATAGTCCCGCTGTAACAAATGGCTGCAAAAACTTTTTTCTTTTTTCTTTTTTCTTTTTTTTCGCAGTCAAATAATTCTTTAAGAAAATCACGATTTTTTTATATCTCCTATAAATTTTAGGAAACAACAAATGGTTCCACCATCAAAGAAACCACAACGTCTGAGAAGCCTCATAGGTTATAAAAAAACCAGAAATCTGGGAAACAAGAATAAATAAAAAATATCTATAAAAAAAAAAAAGAATTAAATATAATGAAGATTTTTGTTATGAAGGGAAAGTTTTAACTGATGGCATCGGGAAACTCTTCTGATCTATATACTTAGTATATATATACTAAGTTTTTAATAAGCAAGTAAAGTAAAATTTTATGGGAAAGTTTAGACATTAGTTGATCCATTTTCCAAATTTGTTGAAATATTTGCTGATGTATCAAACCTACCCTCCTTGTTAAATAAAAAACGACAACAAAGATCTAGACAAAACCAACTAATATCCCACTTGGTGTACTAGGATCAAAACATCAAATTAAGAACTAACCATCTTTTTACGCCCATTTTCTTTTCTCATTATCATCACCCCTTAACCCCCCACCCTCACCCTTCCCCCGCCTTTCTTCGCTCTCCTCCCCCCGCATTACCCCGGTTTCTTCTTTACACACACACACACACACACACACATATACATATATATCATTTGAAAATGGGATACGAATACCAACCTAGCTGTGAACCCAATTTCATCCAATACTTGAAGCTTGCATTTTCATTCATTCAGTTCAATTATCAACATAGATCTTACATAGAATTCAATTCATTATTGAATAGCTATCTTTTGAAATTACTCAACTATGATTTTGATGGTGGAAAATTGGTACATAAAAAGCAAATACACGTTGAGGTGCTTCCGATTTACATACTTGGTGAACCAACTGGAGAAATAGCAGGGTTGCAGGCACCACCACCACCGCCGCCGCCACCGCCGCCACACTTGCCTTTCTCTGAGCCAAGGGCGGATGCCAATATTAACGTTATGAGTGATTCAGAAAGTGTGGACCCAGAAGTCAAAGAATTAATCAAAGGACGAGAAAGCTTGACATTTGGACCAGATGCTTATTGTGGTGAAATTATTGAAGAGTCAGAGCAACGAGAGCAACAACAACAGCAACAACAAGGACAACAACAGCAGCAGCAGACAACTGGAAGTACGACAAGTGAAGATTCGAATTTGGCATCGTCTTCAATTGCCCTGTCTATGAGCTTGAATACTGGTGGATACAATCCAACAAGGTTAATGGATCAGTACGGTAATTTATTCACATTGCACGCGAATGGATTTGTTACTCCCTATAAACAAGTAGTAGGTCATATTGGTGGGATTGGCTACACCAACAATTATCATCACCAACAGCTACAGCAGCAGCAGCAACAGCAGCAGCAATTCCCGATCCCATATTCTTTTCCAATGATGATGCCTTATACGAGAAACTTCAACTATGCGGCATCTTCTTCAACAACATCCTCATCGAGCCCATATCGAAAACAATTTAAGAAATTCAAAAATTTATCCTCACAACTGACCAAAACATCATCGAGATTGAATATGTTTCAAAACCAAATATTGAAAATGGCCCAGTTTAGTGGAGATTTGGACTTGGGGACACTGAATAGATTTGGTGATGTTGATTCAACACTGATTATTATTAATCTGTCGAGTGCCAATACAAGTTCAAGATCAAGCTACAGGAACAGTTTGAGGTCATGTATGAGAAATGGTAGTTCTCGAAGTACCAAATCGCCTCCTCTGTCGAAAGATGATGAAGTCAAAGAAAACGAAAACGAAGAATGGGTGGATGCAAAAGATGACAATATTGAACCACCAAAGATACAGGATATGATAACAGAAGTCTCTGTAGATAAGAATGAGAAAGAGCAGCAGCAGCAACAACAACAGCAACAACAACAACAACAACAACAACAACAACAACAACAACAACAACAACAACAACAATAATAATAATAATAATAAAAATAACAGCAGCAGCAGCAGCCAGTGGAAACAGTCTAAATATAACTTAATAATTTATAGTCATCTCTTACTATTTAAAATGAGAGAGTTTTTAATGGGCTCAACTCTGTAGTGTTCTGCAAGATTGTTTTTTTTTTTAATATTTTTTTTTTTCATCTGTACTATTTGAGTATGTTGAGATGGCGGGGGAGGTGATGAGCTCTTCAAAACAACCAGGATCAGGAGCGGGAGCGGAGCTTTCTAAACAAACAAGCAAGCTAATAGCTGAATTGGTATTGAAAAAAGATGATTTGACAATAGTTAATTTAAAGATTTCCCGAAATGATTCAATGAAGTCGATTATAAGCAAATCATTGGATCTCTTGACCCATGATAGTATATTGTTTGAGGCATTTGCTAGAGATATACCAAAAATGATTTCGATAGTAGAAATTGTTAAGCAGAAGAAACTGGGATTGCATCAGTATAATCGATTGTTTAAGTATCTGAGTGAGGTATATCCATATATGAAGAAGAGGAAGGAAGAGGAGGGGAAAGAAGGTGAGCCAAAAGAAAGAGAGGCAATAGAAGGCGAGGCAATAGAAGGTGAGGCAATAGAGGAGGATCGGAATGAGGAGGAAAAGATTAACCAAGCAATAAAGGAAGTGAAAGGATCAAAAGTGTATGACTTACCTGTGCTATATATAATTTTGAGTAATTCCAATTTGGGTGATCTTTTGAATAATGCTTGGACCGTTCAGTGTTAGGAAGGGGAAGGAGAAAGTCATGAGCCAGATGTGTAATACTGTATTGGTGACTACTTTGGATAAAATGAGCTAGATGGGCTAGATGGGCTAGATGGGCTAGATGGGCTAGATGGGCTAGATGGGCTAGATGGGCTAGATGGGCTAGATGGGCTAGATGGGCTAGCGGAGTCAAATGGCTAGATGGGCCAGATGGGCTAGCGGAGTCAAATGGCTAGAAGGTCTTGATCGGCCAAACGGGCTACATGAGCCAGATGAGCCCAATGATCTACAGGAGCTATATGAGTCAGATGAGCCAGATGAGCCAGATGGCTACATGAGCTACACGAACCAGATGATACAGATGACCCGGATGAGTCAGACGAGCCAAATGAACCAGATGGCTACAGAACCAAGTGGCTACATGAGCTGCTCGATAGTGTCAAGTGGCTACATGAGCTACACGAGTATGAACCAAGTGGCTATATGAGCTGCTCGATAGTGTCAAGTGGCTACATGAGCTACACGAGCTACATGAACCAAGTGGCTATATGAGCTGCTCCACTATCTTGCTCTGCTCGATAGTGTCGTCGATAGTATCAAATGGCTACATGAGCTACTCCACTATCTCGCTCTGCTCGATAGTGTTGTCGTCGATAGTATCAAATGGCTACATGAGCTACTCCACTATCTCGCTCTGCTCGATAGTGTTGTCGTCGATAGTATCAAATGGCTACATGAGCTACTCCACTATCTCGCTCTGCTCGATAGTGTTGTCGTCGATAGTATCAAATGGCTACATGAGCTACTCCACTATCTCGCTCTGCTCGATAGTGTTGTCGTCGATAGTATCAAATGGCTACATGAGCTACTCCACTATCTCGCTCTGCTCGATAGTGTTGTCGTCGATAGTATCAAATGTCTACATGAGCTGCTCCACTATCTTGCTCTGCTCGATAGTGTCGTCGTTGATAGTGTTAAATGCCTACATGAGCTGCTCCACTATCTCGCTCTGCTCGATAGTGTCGTCGTCGATAGTTTCAAGTGGCTACATGAGCTGCTCCACTATCTCGCTCTGCTCGATAGTGTCGTCGATAGTGTCAAGTGCCTATATGAGCTGCTCCACTATCTTGCTCTGCTCGATAGTGTCGTCGATAGTGTCAAGTGCCTATATGAGCTGCTCCACTATCTCGCTCTGCTCGATAGTGCCGTCGATGGTTTCTAGGCCTATTTCTTTGTCTTGCTTTAATATGCAGGACATTTCCCACATAATCCAATTAAATTACGAGCAAAGTTGATTTGTGCAATTTTCGAGTCAGTCCACTCTCAGAAACTCATCAGACAAAAAGTCTCGCTTGTAAAGTAATTGAAAAATATACAACTTGAATATATTACTCTCCTTTGAAAGGACAAAGGCCCAGCAATACTCCACTAACTCTCTAGCAAGCAGGCAAACTAGTATACTAGTATTATTTAAGACTATATATTCCACAATGGCAATTGACCCAGCTACATTTAAATTTGACACACCACAATTTGATCCTAGATTTCCTAACCAAAATCAATCAAAGCACTGTGCACAATCATATATTGATTATCACAAATGTGTTAATGTAAAAGGTGAGGATTTCGAGCCATGTCAAATCTTTTTCAAGACTTTTACCTCATTATGTCCCTTGATGTGGATTGAGAAATGGGATGATCAAAGAAGCGCTGGTACTTTCCCAGTGAATATGGACTCCTAAGGGAATCCAAAAGGGTGAATAAAAAAAAAAAGAAAAAATCTAAAGATTATGACAAGAGAGGCATAGCTATAAGTTGCAGCTGCGAAAAGAAGGATTGTTAAATAGCAAATTTTGTTCAGTACTTATACGTTTGTCTTATTTAATGTACAAATTTATCACGTACTACAACTTGAACATTGTACGGCTTGAATGTACAGCTCAAAGGTATATTCAGCTTCAAAATTTCTACAGCTCGAATGTGTATTCAGCTCCAAAACACATTCTTTAGAGTGTTTAATGTGTATTCAGCTCCAAAACACATTCTTTTGAGCGTTGAATGTGCTACCTTGACTCATCTTTTTTATACTCTTTCTTTTCTTTTCTTTTCTTTTTCTTTTTACCAAAAATCTTCTTCAAAATTGCTTCTTTTACTCTGTTGTTGCATATTTTCACTGGTAAAAAGATCACCATACGGGTCCTGGTTCTGCTTCTTTTCTCTCTCATACATCCTGTTCAACTTTTCTTCTTCCTTCTCTATCTTTTTCCTTTCAAGTTCAATTTCATTGACAAGTTTTTGCAGTGACTTGATAAACTCATCTGTGCTTGTTTCCCGTTTTGTTTTGTTTAGTTTATTAATCACTGCATTTTGCCTTTTTACTACATTAAACCGTTTAACCAACTTTGGGTTCTTATAAATTACCGTTCCTGTATCCATTGATCCATCTGTATGTAAATTCTCACAAGGTGTATATATCACCTTGACATTATCCAATTTATTACCCTTAATCGAGTTGGCCTTGGTCAATTGACATATTTGGCTTAGTAACTGTTGGTCAATATGGAAAGTGTCAAATGATTTCCAGTCAAGTATCTCTTCCTTGGTGAGCTGTAAATACACATGAGCTGAAGATAAATTATCTACATGAAACCATATATTCTTACGATGCGAATGTTCAATTAAAGACTCGTTTTCATACTTGTCCTTACCCATATATATTGAATACTTTCTTTCAACGCCATCTGCTGTTGAAAAACAGGACTCGTCAGTATCTGGAAGTGAAATCTCCGCCGTAAAGTAGTACACCATCCTTCTTCTTACCTGATGGGTACAAGCAACAAGTGGGTCTTTATTAACTCGATTTTTCAATGTGCTACCATATCACTATCGAGCAACACTATCGAGCAACACTATCGAGCAACACTATCAAGCAACACTATCGAGCAGAGCGAGATAGTGTTGTAACTAGCTACTAATCTACAATGTGTTGCTCCACCATCGAGCGAAGCGAGGTTCAGAGACAGGGTAGAACCTTACCAATACTTTACTCTTTACAAGGGCCCCAATGTTGATCCTCTCTAAGTACTCGTCTACTCTCTAAAAGTATTTTTCAAATCTTTACGAGTCCGGGACAGGTAGAACCTTACCAATACTTTACTCTTTACAAGGGGCCCACAGTGTTGGTACTAAGTGGCTGCTCCACCATCTCGCTTCGCTCGATGGTGTCTAGCAGTTGATGTAACATCAATCTCTTAAAAAAATATTTGCTCTATACATATTCTCTTTTTTAACTGTCTCTTTAATATTTGCTCTATACATGATCTCTTTTTTAGGATTGGCAATATAAGTAATTCTAGCCAAAGTGTCGCCTCTTTCCCTCCGCCTTCTCCCCCCCCCCCCCCCCCCCCCCTTCCCCCCCCCCCCCCCCCCCCCACCAGGTAAACGCACAAAAGAGGCTAAC